ACTTGATTTTATTTTTTTTTTCCTGTCAGCAAAAGCTCTGGGAGCAGGTTGTCCAAGGAGGCTGTGGATGCCCCATCCCTGGAGGCATTCAAGGCCAGACTGGACCTGCCTCTGGGCAGCCTGGTCTGGTGGTTGGTGACCCTGCACGTAGCAGGGGGGCTGAAACTAGATTATCATTGTGGTCCTTTTCAACCCAGGCCATTCTATGATTTCCAAACAGTGTGTTTGGTAGTACTTCTAATTCCATCCTCCCTGATGTTCTGTGTAGGTTAAAGTTTCTAGGGATATACAGGAAGAGGCGTTTTGTCAGAAGCCTAACAGTCTGTATCTCAGAATAAGAAAGAAGGTCTCTAATGTGTGAGAGAGAAAATTCTGAGTGGAACTGTACTGGATTCTTCAGCAGGGTGGAGGCTCCATACTCCTCTTATGTACATTTCCACTTTGGGCCCTTGACTTGGATGTTTATGTGTGTACAGCAAGCTCAGCTTCAGAAGCAGTAGTCCAGGGATTGTGACAGAGCACCCTGAGACCTGGGCGATCAGCTCAGACCTCTTGGGCTAGGAAGGATCTGAAATTTATATTTCCTATTTTCAGGGGCGTTGCAGCTACAAGCTTCCTAAAACAAAGTTGTGAGCACCCTTCAGTTTTCAGCTGGACTTGCTGTTAGTAAAACAAATGAGTTTGGTTCTGCTATAGTGGGCAGGTGCAGCTCACTGAAACAGATGCAGAAAACATTCAGGCCTCTTAAAGGAAGGGACCTTTGTGGTCACAGACAGAGGTGCTGGTTGATTTGAGGTACCTCCAGGGTTCAGGCAGAAATTCAGAGCTGTTCTCTGAATCTTGGCTGCTTAAACATTCTAATTACTAGTTAAGTAGATCATTTTAAGAATCTCAAACTGAAGTTGAAGGGAACTAGAAATCCAATTTGAGGATATAAATATGAGGTGTTAACTGCCCTGAAGAAATGAATATCACATTTGTTTGCATGGTGTAACAGGAGGGCCCTTAGGGTCAAAATCATACATCTGTAAAGTAAGTAGCAAGGAGCATAGTATGATTTCATGGGACATAGTCGCTTAATGTGGGCTGAGTTACTTGAGGAGTGTCTTGAAAGCAGTTACATAACCTGCAGCTGCTGCTTTCTGCCACCTGAGGTCCTCTTTTATCCCTAATCAGTAGTGTCCTGTTGACAGAGTACGGTATGTACAAGAATAACACACAGTTAAAATGCTTTGTTGCAGTTTTGAAAATGAAATTTTTTTTCAGAAGCATTATTGTATTAAGTTGGGTATTAGTTACCTTTTCATATCTGTGAATGATTTAGAACTGTGATTGCTGGGTTTCTTGGTTGACAATTTCTCATCTCTTACAATGCCCTGTAAAGTGATTTGCTGATACTTAATTTGCTTTGTTAACATTTAGCAAGTTCAGCTAATGTTCAGTTAATGTTTGTGTTTTCAATGCAGTTCTCTTCCCCTCTCTGACTTCAAAAACATGTAGTGATTTGTGATTGTGGTGCCTGACATGAGTCTTCAAGTTTATTTCTAAGTAAGGTGAATGCAGGTATTTGGGAGACAGTGACTTGAGCAGGTTTGAGCTTAATAACCCTTGGAAAAGAAGAAAACTGAGTTGTTTTTTTCTCTCTACACATTAGTCAGTGTTTTTCACAGTCCATGGTGTTTTTTCATGTGATTACCATTAAAAACTGTAAAAGGAAAAAAAAAAAAAGCGACACAAATATAGAAAGGTAAACAACAGTCTTCCTCAGGGAAAAAAAAAGTGCACTTTCTCTTTGTGAAGGCATTTGAAAGTGAATGCAGTTTTAAGTTTGACCTAGCAGGATGTAAATTGGTAGATGCATTTCCTGTCTCTCCAGTTCTTGGTTAAGTATTTCTCTTTTGGGTGTTGATAGGAACATTTGCATGCATAGATGGGGAACTGTATGAGACTGAAGATCTGGTGGTAAAAACAAACCAAAACAACTAGACAACCTTTTTTGTGGGGCAGGGGCAGTCTTGCTCTTTGATCTAGCAGTTGCAAGGTATCTAACTGTCCAAATGGTTGTATTGACACAAAAGATTCTGGGAGGATTAAGAATTAGAATTAAGAGGAACTCATTTAAACTGTCTCTGTCCTTGGGAGAATGAATCATGAAATAATTGGTGTGCTTTATGTAAAGTATTTCTGTTTTGTAAACTCAGACGTAAATAAATGAGTTGGACTTGGAAATAAATATGGGCTTGCTGACGTAATATCTCCCTGCCTGGAGGCTTTTACACCGCATGGTAACAAAGGGGAGGTTTGTACCTTCTTGAGTTTGGAGTGAAGGTATGTGGTATAATGGGCTGGTTCTTGTGGGACTGGCCTGTTCTGGCTGCAGCGTACATTCCATTGTTTGGCAGGCAGAAGTGGAAAACAATGTCTCTTTTGTTTTTTCCCTATGCATTTCTTTGCAGATCTAGTTTTATGGATCAGAGGTTATACTTGGGCATTCACGTATTCAAAAATATTTTGAACTTTAATGCTGTTTGTTTTACAGCTGTGAATAGCAGTAGTGATGGAAGCTGTAGTCTAAGGAAAGATTTGTAAAGCCAAATACTACCTTTTATTTTAGACCAATGTAAGTAGGGGAAAAAAAACCCTGAACCTTTCTAGGGTCAAAATGTCCTCAGATGAAACTTTGTCTTTCTGTATGAGACGCCTTTCTTTAGCTATTTATCAGTTTACAGCTGCATGAGAGTTGAGAGAAGATTGGTGTGCATGTATGAGAGAGAATGTTGTTTTATTCTGAACCAATGGTGGTCTGTGTACTTCAGTGTGACAAACGGGTACTCCTAAAGGAATTGTTCCTCAGACCAGAATTGGAACAGATCAGCTGAATTACAACTTGGTGCTCCTACTGGGTAAAAGCCTTTGGGATGACATACAAAGCTTATGGCTTTGGGCTGCTTTAAGCTACCATACACATTTCTTTTATATGTAAAATATATTTATACTGTAAAATATTGCTGAGAGAGGGGCAGGAGCGTCTAAAGAAATAATTCTTGTTTTTAACTGCTTGAAATTTCAAACATTTCCATGTCTTAGTATGCGATCTTTCAAGATCTCTTACTCAGTTTTCTACTCAGTGAGAGGTAAGACATGAGAGTCTCAGTGCCTCACCGAGTCGTTAAGGGTCGTTTAAAAAAAAAACAAAAACAAAAACAAACAAAAAAAAAACAACAAAAAAAAAACCCAAAACAACCAAGTGTGTGAGCAATGAACTGAAGGCTGTGTGCTAACGCACTGCCTCTAAGTGACAACGACCTTGAGGTTAGCCCTTCACTTTCTTTTAACTTAACCTTTCGGAAGCATACGCATTTTTCTGGGCGGGTAATTTCTATACTACCCTGCCGAGGCAGTGCCGCAACACTCTCAGCAGCGCTGCAATATAGAGCAGCGCAGTGCAGCCGGGCCGTCCCTGGACGGACGTAAGCGCGGTGCTCGCTCTGAACGGCAGCGCCCTCCGGCTGCCTTCCCGCTCAGCGCCCGGAGCTGCTCCCTGGCGTTCCTGCGGGGAGAGGCGGGTGGGTGAGCGCACGGCATTCAAAGGCGCAGAGCACCCGCCGAGGAGCGGGATCCCAGCCGGATCCTCCCTGACTCGCGGCGGTTCTTGGGCCGCACACCACGTGCGCTCGCTTTTCAATCGCCGCAGCTAAGGCATGGCGGAAAGGCGCAGAGCCTGGACTCGGACCGGCAGGAAAGGATCGAGAAAGCGGTTGCGGTTCGCCGAAGCCGCCTCCCCCATGGACCAAAGACGACCCACGAGAGCAACCCTCCACCTTCCCACTCCCCACGGCTCTGCAAAACCTCGCCAGCGGTGCCCGAGGAAGCTCTGCCCCTCGCAGCAGAGGCCCTGCCCTCCACCCTGTTGAGCCAATCGCACGGGGCCGTGGGCGCGGCCCTTCTGTTCCTCAGCCAATCGGAGGCACGGCTGACACAAAGTAGAGTTCGTTGCACGCGCTTTCAAGACCAGAAAAGATTGCCAGCAGTAACGTCCAATCGTAATAAAGGGAGGCGGGGTTGGCTCGGCCGCAAACCCAATGGGAGGGAGAGAGCCCGGGAGGGAGGCGGTACGGGGCAGGTAGAAGGAGAGTGGCGGGAGCCTGAAGCAATAGGGGAGCAGAACCCCGAGCAGCCCGAGCCAATGGATACCGCCGGTAGGCGGGGCGGGGGCGGCCGTGCCTCGGCTCTGTGATTGGGAGAGGGGCAGCGGGAGCCGGGCCGGGCAGGGCCGTGTGTGCGCCGCACGAAAATGCACTCGGATGCCGGCGCTGTCAGTGAGTAGCGGCGGGCCGCGCCGCGCTCCCTCGCCCGCTCTGCAGCGGCCTTGTCTGACCGGCCGCCGCCAGGCCCTGCCGCCCGCTCGTCTCCTCCGCAACTGGTTGGGGCGGCGCGGCCGAGCGGCGCCTCATTCGCATGGGAGGGCGCCGGGCCGGCGGGAGCGGGGACGACGACGGGCAGGCCGGGGACGGCGGGCCGGGGGACGGCCCTCGGCAGGCTCCGGGCGGGCGGGAGGGGCCGGGCGGGGAGGGGCGTGCGGCAGTGGGGGCGGCAGGAGCGGCGCCGTGCGGCTCTCGGAGGCTATGACGCAGTTTCCCCGGCCCGGCTGGGAGAACGGCGGGCTGGGGGCCGCGGGCCGCCCGAGCGGAGCGGCGGCGCGAAGGGGAGAAGGGAACGAGGGTAGGCGGGCAGCGGCGGTGCTGCCCCGCGGGAGAGGTGCGTGCGCGGAGGGGGGCTGTGGGCGGAGCGTTTCCTTCGGGCCGGTGCGGGAGAAACGGGCTGCGAGGGGGGAACGGGCGGCGCATTGTGGGAGGTGGAGGCTCTTCCGTCGCTGCTCCGCGCGGGCGGGCTGGGGGCGGGGGGGCCTTCGGACTACAACTCCCGGCGTCCACCGTGGCGCCCTGAGCCCCGCCCCCAGCGAGCTGCTTCGCCGCCCCGGGGCCGAGCGGAGACCCCGGGCCGGGCCCGGTCGTGGCGCTGGGGGTGGCGCGGGGCATTGGGAGGGTCTCGTCTGTGTGTGGGATGGCTCCCCTCGCCGCGCTCCCCGAGGTGCTCCCGGTGCTGTGCAGCCTCCTGGGAGGGGGGGGGTGTTGGGAGTCACGGCCCCGGGGCGCTCTTCGCTGCAGGGCTTTGCGAGCGGGGGCTGCGGCCCTGCGCGGTAAGAGGGGGCCGCGCTGCCGGGCAGGGCAATGGGCGCCAGGCGTTATGAGGGGCAGCGCGTCAGCGGGCCTGGGCTCCCCGAGCCCTCGGTGCTCCTCAGAGAGGGAAACTGGGCAGGGAGGTGCAGAGCCCGTTCACGGTGACGTTATGTAATGTCTTTAGCAGTCCTGGATTAGTCTACCTTAACGTTTATCGTTATGTCGTGGTATCGAATGCTCCCAACTGAAGCAGAAACAGCCACCTTATGTTGGAAATAGAAGGATATTTTTTCTGGAAAGTGCCTTTTGTTTGCTCCCTTTGCAGTATCCTCTGTCTAAAAGCCAGAAGGTGCAGGTCTGTATTACGCACTTGTGGGCTGCAGCTGCCGCTACTCCAGCACTCCCTAACGGAGGGTGCTGGAGGTGGTGCAGTGATTTGTGGTTGTTAATTTCTCTGCGTAGAACACACAGAGTACTGCTGCTCATGCTTCAGCTGTTGCTGTCTTCTCCTTCAAAAGGTCCCTTGTGCCAATTTCCATCTTCCACCACATTATATGGCAAAGCCTTGAAGTGCCCATATGTGTATATGTGGTATTTTCAATAGGAATTTTCCTAAATTAACTTGTATCATTACCTGTAGATTCATACTTCTTTTTCTTTTATTTATTCTTTTCCTTTTCTTTTGCTTTTTTTTCCACTGTGGAAATGCTTGAAACAAGAATTAATGTTTCTGTTGAGTCTTCTTTTTGTTCCTCTCTATTCCGTTAATACATTTTTGCTCAATTTTTCTATGAGTGATTTTTTTCCACATTACATGAGAAGCACAACTTTCCATTTCTCCTCTTCTCTTAAAAGTTTCTTGCAGCTCCAATCAGTGTGATCAAAGATGGTTTCTATTTGCAAGGCAGTAAGTCAATGAAAGGCAATAAGCTGAGTAAGGCAAGAAAACAGCTTTCCTATCAGTGTTTCTCTTTATTATTTTGTATCAGGATGGGATTTTATTCGTATTATTTTAGTACTTGGTTTGTTTTTGTCTGGGTAACTTGTGCTAACTTGAGGCGAGTTGTTAATTCTGTATCTTCTTTACTTTTTCCCCCTTGCCTTGGAATCGGGAAAATAGTGCCCCCCCATCATTACATCCCAGTTCATGTATTTGCCTCTTCAAGCAGAAGAGGAAATCACGCTTGATTTCTGTAATGTGCTTTATGGAAAGCAAAGAGCTGGGAAATAGGGTTAAGAATTTTAGGAAAATGCTCACCTTTTGTGCTCAATTTAGGTATTAGAGACCTTAATGGTGGGGATATGTGTCCTTCTGCAAGAAGTAATGCTGCTCACAAAGACTTAAAGCAGAAGCCTTATTTTAAAACTGCCTACTTGCAGATCTCGTATAAATGCTTTTCATGTATTGTCCATTTTAGACATTTTTCTTAAAAATGTAAATCCGAGATTAAACAGAAATTCTCATTATGGCTCATAAAGAGATTAAGAAAAAAGAGAAAGCAACAAAAAACATCCAGTTCATGCAGTGATTTTTATGCGATTTTAAAATATACACTGCTGTTAGAGCCATGTTCCAATGCCATTTTTTGCAGGTGTGTGAGGGCACAGGCACTGCTGCAGCTCATAGCTGAAGCTTACAGCTTCTGTGGCTCTGCTGGTGCAGGGCTACAGAGGAGCACTCTCTAATCCATCAGTCAAATGTATCTGGGTTAACTCTTGCCAGTTCCTTAAATTGGCTCAACTGACATGGTAGGTTTTCGCCTGCAGTGGATTAAGGGACATGCCCATGACCTGTGCTGCTGGCAGAGCCATAGAATCTGTAGCTTTTGGCAGAGAAGAGAGAAGCAAGCAGCTGGGATAGCAGTGCTTGTGCCTGGTGTAGCTGTTTGTAGGCTGCTGCAGTTTCATCCTGATGTACTGATCCGTGTCGTGCCGGACATCCTAGCAGTGCATACCAGGGTTGCATTTCTGCTGAATTAGCTGGAGCACAAGACACAAAGTTTTTATTAGCTTTATACCCTTTGTAGGATGGCAAATGATACCTAATCTGGCATGAAGTTTGGAGCAGTGCTGGCAGTCTGTGCTGTGGCCATAGCATCCAGTGATACAAAGTTAACTCATTGACGTGTTTTGGAATGAACTTGATGCTAGAGTAAGAGAGTGGATGAGTACACTGCAGCAAACCTGTGCAGGTTAGCTCTGTACTAAATGCCTCATAGCTGCATTTCCTCTGTCCTGCTCATGACGTCAGGAGCATGAGCCCACTGAAATACTGTTTGATTTTATAATGTATGCTTTAGAAATAGGTTTAAAAAAGGTGTAATTGCCTACAGCTTTATTCATTCTTTTCCATCTGTGCCTGGCCATTCCATTTCTATGATATCCTGACAAGAATCTCCTCTAGGAATGCTTATCGGGCACATTTAGTGGGCACGCAGGCTGTGGTATTTGCAGCAACAGAAACAGATGTATTACACCATAAATGCACACAGTGTTAGATCTTTGGCTAAAAACCAAAACAAAACATGAGCCGGTGCACAGAGTTTATTTTAAAGTGTATATGATAGAGTAGCTCTGATTTGTTCTAATTAAAATAAAGATTAATGGACATTCAGAGGAAAGGAATGGCTATGTAACATGTCTGCTGCTTAAATTGCTCCGAAATTCTCAGTGAACTTTAAACCTCAGTAGCTCTTTCTGTAAACAAGCCTCCAGGTCAGGGTGCTTATTACATACCTGGGTGAAAGAAGGATTGGTTCCTATGAAGGAAAGATTAGTGCTTTTCCCTTTCCCTGTCTGCAGAGCGTGCAGTAGTTTCACAGTGCTTTGCTACAAGTACTGTGAGTGACTGCTGATGTAATACCAAATGTTGTGGCGAAGGTTTGTGTTAAGATGGTACCCTTTAAGTTCAGTGTGCTGTCATTTCAGCCACATTTTGTTGTCAGGGCTTTATTTTAATAATGTGAACCACTGTCTTGCTTCAGGATGTTTTAGGGTGTAGGGTTTGAAAGACACGTGCAAGCTTTCACACATGTATTCATGCTGTGCTGGCATCAGCAGTGCTGGGTGTTGAGTTGAGAGCTGTGGTGCACACGTGCCCGCAGGGGTTGTGCCCTGCAGCATGGCACAACAGCCAGGAGGGCTCAGCCTGCTTCTCTTCCATTCAATCGGGAGCCCTTGCACTCCAGGAAGGAATTCACTTGTGCTCTCTTTCTGAATCAAGGATGCCCCATCCCTGGAGGCATTCAAGGCCAGGCTGGATGTGGCTCTAAGCAGCCTGGTCTGGTGGTTGGTGATCCTGCACATAGCAGGGGGTTGAAACTAGATGGTCATTTGGTGCTTTTCAACCCGGGCCATTCTATGATTCTGTGGTACTCAAGGAAGACTCTGTGAGAATAAAGTGCCATGTTTCTTTCTGGCGTGGACTTTGTGACAAGGCTGTAAGGATCTGTAAGGTTGTGCCTTCTCTCTCACTTTTTGATTGGTAAAGAGCGGTGAAACAAAAGGGTAACAATCTTGCAAAGGTCTTAGAACAAAAACTGTATTGTAACCCTCTTGTAAAAGTTGTAGAGCCAACACCTGTTGTACCCAAGTGCCAGGGAGGAGTCCCTGTGAGTCGCTTTGTTTAAGGTGGCCTCGAGTCGGCCGTGGGCTCAGAAAGCGACTTCATTCATCCTTGGGCAGGAATGCAGTGTCAGTTCCTGGCTGCTCCATATGCTTATTGTGCTGCAATTGGGGATCTCTGTCTTTAGCTGTGTTGTTTTCCTGTAAATGAAGACAAAACATTTTCATTTGTTTTCTACACTCAAATATAGAAATTCTACTTTCTGCATGTAAGTAATGAAGACTTCCACCAAACGTAGGTGTCAGATCTGAACGTCTAAACTCATTGGTCAGTATAAATTGTTGTGCCATTAGGATACTTATGTAAGCAGATCAGGGAGCATAACATCGTGTTATGATGTAGTTCATAATGATTACATGATTCTTTTATTGGATAAGTAAGGTTTATTCAAAATCAGTTAGGGAGGTGATACTTTGGACTAATATTTCTCCTATTGCTACAAGTTTCTCCATTTCTGCTGTTTGAAGCCAGAAACTGTATTAAATAATAAAAAAAAAAAAGCAAAAAAAAAAAGCTGAAACATTCCATTCTAATTTTCAGGGCATGAGTCTGCCCGGTATGTGTTTCTGTCTAATTGTTTTCCGAGAAGCTTTTAGCAAATGACAGCATTTATACTGTTGGATAGAACTTTACAGTCATAAAAATTGCGATGACTCCTTCCACTCTGAAGTTCTTAACGCAGAGTTGCATCTGTAGCATTCATGTGTCACGTCTGTCTGGCGTATTTTTAGACAGACTGGTAGATTTAGACCTACTGCTACTAGAGATTTCCTATTTGCTGACATTATCTAGAAGCTTTTAATGGAAGCCTGGGAGCCTACTGCTGGTCTGATCTGGTGCTGGTGCAGGTTGATGGTAGGTGATGGTGCACCCAATGGCTGTGGTTTGTCACAGCTTTGAAGTGATAATTTTAACAGCAGGAAATAAGCTGCAGGTGTCAGGCAGGTAAGTGCCATGTGTGGGTGGGCACAGAGTTAGAAATACTCTTTAGGTATTCATTTGTGGTCTCATTTGAATAGTTTGGCAGCACGTGGTTTCCTGTGATAAAAATTATATATATATGTATATATATATATATATTTTTTTTTTTTTTTTTCTGAAAATTTGATTTCATGGATTTGAATTTGACATTTCAGGTAGAAAATATGCAGCTTCCATTCACTTCTGTCATTTGCTTATATTTAAAATATATATTGAGGTTTTTTTGGAGGGGAATGGGGTGGGAGGAAGGGGAAATAAACTATGTTGTGTCTCATTGCATTTCTTAAATTTTGTCTCAATGAAAGATGTAGAGCTACTTTTATAAAAAAAAAAATGCCCAATCAGTTGCTCTCTTCTTTGCCTCTCCATAACTGTCAGGTCTAAATTTTGTAAATTTTAATATTAAAGTATTTTAAAGGTTATTTTAAATCTTTTTGTTTTCTAAAATTAATTTGTATGTGACTGGGACTAGTTATATAACCCAGACGTTAGCACTTGTTCTTAACACTGAACTGTGGATAAGGGTGAAGTTCCATTTTATGAGGCTGGTTCTGGCATTTCTTTCCTTTCTGGATGGATTTGCAATTATTTTATCCAGATTTTTTTTTTCCTTAGCTGTTGTGTTGTGGATTATGTCAAACTATTTAATAGCATTCGGGATTTCCATTGCTTCAGTCCATCGCTAAAGGTAGGCTGGCATCTGTAACAAAAGCAAGCGTAGGGTTTGTAACATAGCATGTCTTTTCTTCAGCATTCCTGAAACAAGCAGCTTTCCTCCACTTGATCCCAGGTTGTTTTTCCTTTCCTTTTATTGCAGTAATAAAAGCAGAATAGAATCATAGAAGGTTGGAATAGTTAAGGTTGCAAAATACCTCATGATCATCTAGTCCAACCATTGATCCATCACCCCATGCCCACTAACCACATCCCTCATCAGTGCAGTTCCTGAGTACCTGTAAGGACAGTGACTCCACCAGCTCCCTGGGCAGCCCATCCAATGCCTCACCACTCTTCCCGAGAACAAATTTTTCCTACTGTCCAACCTGCAGCCTCCCCTGCCACAACTGAAGGCCGTTACATTTTCATCATTCCAGGCTGGTTGATCTGCATTGAAACTCTTGTGTTCAGATGACAAATGGTTTCACACAGGTTCCTCCACATGGAACCTGTACCAGCTGCTGCTGGGTGCGGAGCTCCTGGAGGTGCAGCTGGCTGGGCAGCTGATGAAGTGCCTTGAGATGCCCGGCTGCAGCTGCTCAGCAATGCTTAATGTGTGTCTGTGCCTTCTGCTGGCTTTCCGAGTGGTATCACAAGAGTGTGAGAGGGAGTATTTTTCAGATTCTGTTCATTGAAAAGCAGCTTTTTTGATGTATAGCTTCTCAGTATTGTGGAATAGTTTTGTGCCTGTTCTTTGCAGTGTGGATACAACAAACACTGTGACCAAGTTCAAAAGGGAACTTGAGCTGTAATTAAATTTCCCAGTTATTTTGGCTGCCACTCATGTTTGCTTCTATACCAATAGTTGACAAAGCAGCTTATTTTTGCTTTTGGATCACAGCCCCACTTTGGAAGCGTCCCCTGTGGAGAGACAAAACTTTGGATTCCTGTTTTGTTCTAGAAGCCTTAGTATTCATGTGGATATACCAGTCTGTGCACAGCCAAGGTGTGATGCTTGTCGTGTAAGAGCTCTAAAACATATTGCTGCAGCTCCTCCAAGACCATCATAATTGTGTAAGGTTTTCTGAAGTAAAAGCTTAAAGTTGTGAACTGTTTCCAATGGATGTGTGAAACGTCCTGGTGCGAATGCTGTGTTTTGAAGTGCCTAGGAATGCTTTATTTCCAAGGCAGTGCCTAGTAGACTTAATCCTAGTTTCTAGAATACTTTTTTTCCTGTTGTTGTTGTAGATAATATCTAAAATTACTGCCTAGTATTAATTTAGAAGAAATATTTGGTTAGTATTAGATGCTTGATGGCTCCAGATATCACTGGTTTCTCTGAAGACCTGCATTCTCTGTAGGGCTTAAGCTATGCAACAGGGGAAACTGTAGTGTTTGTGTTCTGAGGAGCTCCGTCTGGGCTGGCAGTTAGCAGAAACACCTTTCCTCATTTTAATCTTGCTCTTCTCAGAATAACAACCTGTCTTCCCCTCTGCACCCCCAGCTCCTCTCCAGTAAGAGGAGACAGACTGTTTCTGTCTTGGTGTAGATAAATATATCTGAAGTTTGAAATTCCATCTCTGGTGTATCTGACTTGCAGAAATTGTGTTGCTGTGATGGGGAATGAGGGAGTATAGGGTAAGAAATAAGCAATTATTGGTGAAATGAGACTCTCCAGATAAGACAATAAATAGAGCCTGTGATTCCTTGAAATATCTCTTTTAATTCAGCACGTTGAGAGAATTCTGTAATGATGTGTGCAGCAAGTGTGCTCCTTCAATTTGTCATTTCCACTCTCCCAAGGATCTGCTGTTTAATGCAGATTGTTCATCCTTAGATCCTGGGTCATCTTCAGTGTATTTTGGGAGCGTTTTCTTGAAATGAAATGTGGGAATTACATTTTTTCCTTGTATCTTTTAGGAGGAACTGGAGAAAGCCACATTTGCTGGCAGAAGCACTGCAGCCATTAGCACACAGCAGTGACACCAGGCATGCAGAGTTACATTCTGCTTGCAGTGTTTTGCTTGCCAAATAGGATGTGTCTCTGTGTTGTCAGTGTTCTCTTCTGCGCAAGTTCCAGTGGGGCTGCCAGTTTGCTTTTGGTTTAAATGGAAGTATTTTGTAGTGGTTTGATGTCTTATACCTCTCTCAACTGCTCTGTGCCCAGCTTCTGAGACTCATGCTGGTTTGCATGCTCTCTGACTGGATCAAAATGGATCTTTTTGGTGAATTAATTCTTACCTAGTTTTATTCTGGACTTGTTTCTAGCAAAAAGAGGTGACTTAATGGAACAGAGAAGGACCAGCTTGTCTCTTTGTATCAGCTGAGGCAAACTCAAGTATTCATTTGTGAGACAAGGAAGCAAAGCCAATATCTATGTTAGGGCTACTTTCATGAAGTGTCAGAGTTCCACATTTTAGGTTCTATTGGCTTTGGTCATAACTGCTGTATAGTGACTTGGGGTTCATTATGCAGAAGTCATGTTTCAGCTGTGTGTGTTCCAGTAATTTCGTTTTACAAGGAGATGAGTATAAAGACAAGTTCTTGTTTCATCATCTTTTAAAAAACAGTGTTTTCAGTGGTCATTTTAGAATGTTAGGTGGTAATTAAATTGCTTTTGGAGTAGGTGGCAGAGGAAGACTGAGTAACGTGGAAACTATATGATGATTCCTCATCTTGAGGATGAAAGTTGTAAATGATTTAAATTTATCACATTTAATATAGTTGCATATTTAGCTATAGTTCTGTTTTGCTGGATATCATCCATGCCTTAAGAAGAATGCGTATATAGGATTTCTTCTGGAGATTTGACTTAATGTTTTCCATTATGTGTTGAAAATGTTGGTGCTGAAAAAGGGTTGGCTTTTGTTCTATAGTCAGGTCACGGTTTGATTGAAGTACTAGAATTTATGAAGATCTTGATTGTTACAGCTGGAAACCAAGAAGTTTAAAACTTTTTTTTCTCCCCCCTCTAGATTTTCAGCTGAATTCTCACCTATCAACACTGGCAAATATTCACAAGATTTACCACACTCTCAATAGGCTGGTAATGACTTGCCATTTTCTCTTGGTGGAATTGCTAGGGCTATAGGTCAGAATGTTTTTGTGGTTGAAATCCTTTAGTGATTGCACTTCTAAGAACTATCGCTGCTTGTCTGGCTGAGAGGCTGTGGGTTTTGAATCTGGGAACTGCAGTAAACAGTAACTACTGCTGAAAGGTTATACACCAGGGTTCAGAGTGGAGTTTTAGCCACGTTCAGTGCAACACTGGATTTGAAGTTTTTTCCCCAAACAAGTTTTCCTAGATGATCAGGTAATGGCAATCCTTCTTACACTTACGCCTTCTGTTTGTACATTGCAAATGTGGTGGATAAGACATTTCCTAAGGGGGAAAAAAAAAAAAGATAACTTGTTTCCAAGTTATCCAGCTGAGTTTTAACCGGGTTTTTTTTTTGGGCATGTGTGTGTTTAGCCGTAAGCAGTGCCACTTCTGTGGTAAAGGCTAAATTCAGATGTTCTAATATGGCATTTATTCATGGAGTTTTTTTAGAAAAGCCCTGCAAAATTGCCCATTCAATGCATAGTTACTTCTACTCTTCAGATGTTGTTTGTTTTTTTGAGTTTAAAAAAGTATTTAAAAGTATTTTTCAAATTACTTGCAGATTATCCTTGAACTTTTTAGATACATTTGCAAGTATAGTTGTTTTGGTAAATACAAACCCAAAACAAAAAGCCTCTGCAGTTTCAGCTAAATGCTCCTTAAGTAGTGAAAATGAATATTAATATGGAATAGAGGTTAGAAAGTTACTGAACAATGGAGATTATGATCTTATTAAACTGTATTCATTCCTATTCTCTTGCAGAATCTGACGGAGGACGTTGGCCAAGACGATTGCCAGACAGGTATTTAATAAGGATGCAGTAGAAATAGACCACAACGATTTAATCTTGATTCGTGAAATAAGTGTCTCTAGCATTATGGAAACTGAGATTTTAGGAAGCTGATGGAGTTTTAGGAAGCAGCTACAGAATCATGTTTTTCTTTTTTTAAAGATTTCTTCAAAATGTTTGTGCTTTTAAATTCCCCAATTGAGAAGAACTGACAGGTTTCAGCAGTATGTTATTTTACAGTTTCTTTGCGTAAGTTCTTTAAGAAGACCTTATGACAAATTCCTCTCACTCCTTGGACTCAACCCATCAGACTAGCAGAATATCCATGTTCTTAGAGTGTTTTGACTCTTGAAGTTGCATTAGTGAGAACAGAGCAAAAGCAAGGCCTCTCATGGCTATTGTGTTGCCTGTGACCGAGTTTAAATGCTGTGCTCCAAACAACCCAACTCTTTTTTTTTTCAAGTGATTTTGTTGGATGGAACTTGTTCTTATTTCTTGTGTAGTTTTTCAGTAAATATCTAAGGGCAATTTCTTAGTTCCCAGTCTGTTTTCCGCTCTACAAAATGTCGTTGTTTTTGAGGCCATCATCTCACGTGTGGTATTAGCTTGTTGCCAATTCTTGATTCATCTGCATTTGTGCTTTTTGTGGCTTGATATCTTTTAACGTGTGCTACCTCCTTTTCTGCTTGTTCCTTAAAGCTGACATGTTCCTTGATTCCTTTTTTTTTCATTTCTTTCTGTGTTTCAAGCATGAAACTTAAGGAGGAAGGAAAATAACTTGTTGGCTTCGAGCTCTGATATTAAGCAGAGCAGTTCTTCAAAACTGCCCACATCTGTCCTCTCGTGTCTCAAAGTTGTTCTTTCTCCTGAGGTGCTAGCTATGTGTGCTGATGTTACCCTGAGCGCTTAAGAAAGTGAGGAGAGCTGTCTGCTTCTCCTGGAGATTTCTGGAGCAAACTTGTAAGTCTACCACTCTCTTGGCTTAGAGCAATGAGAAAAAATACACTGGGATGGGATCTGACAGAACTTACCTGTGCCTTTTGTCACCTCCTCCATACTGATTTTGTTTTGTAGTTGCACTGTCATACCCTGTCAGAAGGCTTCTATCAAATGTTTTCTGTCAGTGGGCTTGGTGATTTCTTACCTGAAGTTAGCTCATTGTATAAAAGCTCTGCAGAAGAGGTTGTCAGATGCAAGTAGTTTTGGCAGACCTGTTACCATCCATTTGTTAGAACTGAAGTCCTCTTCTTTCTCCTAATGGAGACTTGGAATTTTTCCCTTTGTGACCTAGTTTCTTGAACAAAACCTGTATGCATCCTTATTTTGCACGTGAAAACGTGTTCTATAGTCTTTTCTCACTTTTGATTGCAAAACTGTTCTGAAGCATCAACTATTGGTTTTGAGGCAGTCAAGTTCTGTTACTAATCAATAAAAGTAAGTAGCTGTGCTTAAGGCGTTCAGAATTTCTCCTCTCTTGCTTAGCACTACCATCATAAAAGGTCAGTTAAGAAATCAGCCTTATTTCCCATTATCTCCTTCCCATTATTATTCCCCATTCCCATTATCTCCTTGGAAACATATTTAAGTATGTTGTTGATTTTAATGTACTGCTTTATTCTGACTCTTGTTGTTATTGCCTACTTTGTGTTTGTTTGAATTAAGCTCTTTTAAAAGCTTAAGCAATACTCATTGAATGAGTTTGGACACAAAATCCCAGTAAATAATATATATTTTTTTCGTAATAGCTGTAAAAGAGCCTTTCAAACCAGGAAAAAGTATGAAATGAGAGCTGAAAGTAGAAGTTGCTACTGGCAAATTCTTATATTCAGATTTCATTCTAGTGTTTCTTATGCTTCTGCCCTGTTTTATATCCCTTTGCACGAAAAGGTGAAGTTCCAATGTTTGCATGACTTCCAGCCTTGAGTTCAGTTGAAAAGTATATTTGGCCTTCCTCATGTGAGGACAAGTAGATGTTCAGGGGGCTGTTTTGGCCACTGTGAATATAGTGCAGTCATGTCTCGTGTGCCCACTTGTTGGGGGACTTGACACTTGTGAAACGTCGTACAGGAAAGTCTTACTTAAGTCTGGAAAATCAAACCCATCTTTTCCAAATCATTTGATATCATTGTGCTTAATTTTACATAATTTCTGTTCTCTGGTAGTAAGAAATGTCAAGACCTATTCATTTTATTACGCAGCTTACAGAACTGCATAGATCTTGTGGGTTTATTTGAGATTCTACGTCTAGAACTCATTTGACAGTCATGTTAATAAATCTGTTGCGAAGGTTTCTTTGGGTGTTATCAGACCCATCTAGAGATGTGTTTTGTTTTGTTTTGTTTTTGAGATGTTTTTCACACTTTGAGTCTTCTGAAGCACGTCTTATCCTTAGAGATTACTGTTATTTTTCTGACGTGTATCCTGGTTAATGTTGTTACAGTGGAGTCATGTATTAAGTCACCTCAAACAGTGACTTATATCTAAATTGGGTTGAGACTTCTAAAGCTGCTTGGAAAATGGAGACTTCAATTTTAGGTTACCCTTTATTTATAATAAACTTTTAATGCTTACTATATTCTTTCAAAGCAGGTATTTCTGAGCTATATAAATATGCTGGACACTGAAATTATTTTAGACAAATTTATCTTTTCTAAGTATTACTGTTTTTTTTTTTTTTTTTTAAGTATCTGAGTATCTTCAGTATCTAAGAGCTGGAGGATGGGTTTTTCAGATTTTCTTCAGTGATTTGGGAACTATCCAGAACTTTATTCCAAAATATACCACACGTTACAATTACAGTCTCATAAAATGTGTTAGCATTGAGTGTGTTTATATGTATCTGAAAAATAAGGTAGACTGTAAATGTGTCATGGGGCTTTAACTTATCAGCTGTTTTTAAGGGTAAGAATCACAGACAGTTGGATTCATTAAACTGTTTGCTCTTTTTTTCCCCCTACTTTTTATATGTATTAACTTGGAAACTTCTCTCCTGAATTTAATATTAGTCATTTTTGAACCACCTATAAATTGAGCAGTAACTAACATTAAAGTCCTACTTTGATTATTAAATTGTGACTTGTTTACTTATGCAGACTAAAATGTCTGTATAAGTGCATATCCTGCTTTCTCCTGACTGTTCTAACACAAAGAGGTAATGACTTCAGGAAAAATAAAATAAAATTAAAAAAAAGGCTTCATTGCTTTTCTTGAAGTTTGGAAGGGGATGGAGGGAAAATTATTTACTTCTGCCCTTTTTTTTTGGTTGTTTTAGAAAAGAAAACCCTTGTAAGACCAAAGCAGTTCTGTACTGTGGAATTCAAGATAGAGGTGATTTTTTTTTTTTTTTTTTTTTCTTCTTTTCCTAGTTTTACAAGAAGACTGTAAATGGTTTGGTGGTTTGATGAGTACCTTAGTTTTTTTTCTCATCTCATATCTGAAAAATGATGATTGTTAACAGTGTTTGTGGTGGTCACTGAGTTGCTTTATCTTTTCCAGTTCAGCGTGCACAATTTGTGATTATTTTTCTTTTGAAACATCCATCTTCTGTCAGAAGAGCAGAAGTGTTCACAGTCATTACCTAGAGAGTAGGAGAAATGATGCGTCTTTAAGTCTTTTCTATAGGGACACAGCTTGCAGTATTCTTTTTAATTGACCACTGTTCTTTCTTTTTTGTTTCTTCTGGTTTTGTTGTTATTCTAGGAGTGTCTCTCCCTTGTGGTGCTTATCTTACATACTGTTTCATATTTCTTGGGGTGAGTTTTAGCTCTTGAGTTGATGCATCTCTGGTAACTGTTTCCTGCAAATTTGGAAGTACTGAATAGAACGTTTGGCAAACAACATTTATACTCGGCAGGCTTTTGGCTGGTGATGGCCTATTCAGCAGCCATTTGGAGGCTCTACCTTGCAAATGCTAGCTTCAAGTGTCAAAAAAAGCAGTGAGGACTAGGAGGGTTCTGCCAATCTTGAGTTGAGACCCAGGAGTAAGAAACTTTGAAGATAATCACATTCACATCAGAGAAGCTGCACTTGGTAAGTAAAGTTCCTGTCAAACTTTGCATGAAGTCAGAGAGAGCTGCATGCGCGTTTGCAGATGATCAGACCTGTGAGAAGCAAAATTAGTTGGGAAAACCCAGATATCAGTAAGGTCTGTACAGAAAAGGTTAATATTAATGCTACTTAGTGATCTACGCTGTAAAATAAGAAATTGAAAGAATTTAAATGAAGCTACATTTGGATAGGTTTTAACTTTAGATGAAAGTAACAGAAATATCCTGCTTTTTTAACTTTAAGAAACTGCGAGAAAGTTATAACTACCCTTCAAATTCAATATGCACTAATTCTAGTGACAAAAGTAAATATTTTTCGAGTAATGTTTTTGCAGTGTGGTTTTCAGTAGTTTATAGATCATTCAACAGTTAAAACATATTGAAGGTTTAGTCCAAAACTAACTTATTAAGACGTTTAATCTCTGAAAACAAGTAGAGTATGTTTGTCCACATTGTGTCTTATGCATTTAATAGCCATTTACCAATTTCTGAGCTCTCTTCTCTTTCCTTTTCTGTCAGTTTGATAACTGCAACTAGGTACATTCAAACCAAGAAAGGGTGTAAGTTTTTTGTATGAGTTGTTGGAGAAATTGGGGTGCGATGAATTCTGTTATCATTTTAAGACTTCAAACAGGAATTCTTGGATTAAATTTTTTGGTTTGTCTGGGGTTGCAGAGCTGATAAAATGATTTTCCCATTCTGTAACTTTTATTTGTTTTCATCTTCTGCTATGCATCTCTCTTCACAGTAGCCTTGCATATTTCTTTTCCCAGTAAAATAACAAGCATTAGCAGGAGTAAACTGGACAAATTCTAGGGGGTTTGGTATGGTAGTTTGGGTTATGTTTTACTAGAATCCAGTGTCTATGGCATCATAAATAGATTTCTAAATAGGCATACAAAAAAAAAAAAATTAGTTTTCAAAGGAATGAGGTGACTGCGGGTTGTGTTCAGGTACTCAAGCACATACGTACCTTCCAAAATAATCTGTTTGTTAGCACACGCTTTGATTTATTAAGTTTGTGTCTGAGTTTGTTTGTAGTTCTGAATCTGTTGGCTGTCGTCTTAAATGTCCTTAGTTTGTGTAGGTTTTCAAATATCAGAACACTATTTAGAAACTTGATTTAAAAATCCATAAAACATCATACTTAGAGTAATTTCTGGGAATAGAATTTTGTGGTACTGTTAATTTGCAGGTATAATAAGATCGAACTAATGCAGTCGTAAGATGAGGTTCATTAGTTTCTTTAACCTGGGTAGTAAAATGCTTTGGGTGTACTGTGAAATTTTGGTGACCTCTGGCTTATCTGTTTCAACTATACTTATTTTTGAGAATATGATAATTGTTAATATCCTTTTAGTATATATTCAGGGTAATGCTTTTAGAAGTACATTCTACTGTATACATATAGCTGTTATATTTTCTTATGATGGAAGTTTGAGTACAGTGCTGGATTTCTTTTTAATAACTAGTTAAATTATATTGTAAATGCACAGTACTCTTAAAGCTTTCTTATTAAAAGATAGTGCAGGTATGTCCAGGGAGGGGAGCTTAGCGGACAAAAGAGAGAAGGAGGGGGGAAAAAAGCATAGGAAGAGGATATAAATTGGAAAGAGTATTTCTTGAACTAGAGAGAGGAATTTTCTTAACGGAAGTGAGTGTAAAGGTAAGACCAAAGAAGGCATGCTAAATTTAAAACTTTGTTAGCTGAAACCAGATTTGTTAATGTTGATAACTGGTGTGACCATATTGCCTACTGTCAGAAAAATCCTTACTTTTATATGTCTAATAGTTTCAGTGCATGTTTAAAATAAAGTACATGTAGCAAAGCCTGTGAGGCTGTAAGGTTCCTTACATGTGTTTCTCCTATAACAGGAGAGAGACTTTCAAAGATACGAAGAATAGGTAAGCACAAGATTGCCATTAGTATTTGTTGGGAATTGGGCCTCTGGTTTCAGTCTGTTCCCCTGGTGTCGAATGGTAGTGCAAGTTTTATTGCTTAATTCTGTGCTGTGATTTAAAATAAAAGGTTTTGTGAACGTGTTAGTAAAGCAGAGCTAAACTTGGATGCTGTTGAAGCTAAGAGAAGGTAGCTCAGGCATGCTGTAGGTCTTCATATTTTCTTGCAAGTTTCTTTGGCATCGCTTTGTTTCCAGAATTTTATACCTCACCTCTCCCTTCTTTTCCTTCTAAAATTTCTCTGCATAACATTTAGAGCTTTGTTAGCTCTTTGAGCTGCTCCTACACATACCTTTTTCTGGTGTCCATGTGGTCTTCAGTATATGAAAGCAAGGCAAAATTTTGCCTGACTTTTTAGCCTATTGCTTTCATGAGGCAGCAAAGATATTTAAACAACTTGCTGTACTAATATACAGAACGGTTTATGTGGGGATTGTTTTTTTCTTTTTTCACTTCAGTTTAATTACAGGTTTGGTGAGCTGGATTAGCACACTGAAGAGTTTCCAGAACTGGCAAAAGGAACAAGTAGGAGTGTGCAGCTAGCACCAGTTTTTTAAATTGGCCATTCTCTACTTGCAGAACTTCACTGTTAAAGAACTACCTGAGCAAAATAATACTCATTTTTTTCCTAATGGTTGTTAAGCATCTCTTTGCAAAAACAAACAAACAAACAAAAAAACACTCTAAAAAAACAAACAGGAAAAAAAAAAAAACCCAAATAAAAAAAGCAGCCACTCAAACAACCACCTCAACAACAACAACAACAAAAAGCTCCTGAAAAGAATCCCCTTTCTTCACCTCCTACAACAAATCAAAGATAAATGGAAAAAAACGCCCTCCTTTCCTTGCTATCAGTATCACAAAAAAGGTGTGGATTAAAAATAAAAAGGTTCTGTTTTCTAGAGCTGTGCTGCTCTAATCTTTGGGTTGCATCTGTATTTCAAAAAGTAATGGACAACTCTCAGAAGTTCTGATCTGAATTAATTACTAAAAAAGTCAGACTGAAAACTTAGATATGTCAGGATAGACTTAGTTCATGCCTTTTGTTAGGCTGAAGTGGCATTGGTGTAATTTTATATTTTGGCATAGTGCTACTGACTTTAACTGAAATCTGGTCAGAGAAATACCATGGAAAACAGATTTTGCTCTGGAAAGGGGGCTTTTTCTAATTTATAAATCCACTAACTTTCTCCCTTCCCTTTCCTTTGTAATATGCCTATTAGTGGACACAGTTTGACTGGTCTGCAATAGTTTCATCTCTTGTACTGGTGTTTTTAATTCCCTCTGTAGGAAGTCTCCGGTCTTGCAGTTCATCAGACTGCTTTAGTAAAGTGATGCCTCCAAGGAAAAAGAGGAGACCTGCAGCAGGAGATGATTTATCTGCTAAGAAAAGTAGACATGATGGGTATGTCATCTTACCATGGGCTAAGACTGGAATATCTAAAGATGAATAGCTGATTTGATCATGTTTTTAAATACTAATCGAAATGATATTCAAATTTGATTGGTTTCTTGATGTGGAACCATTGCCTGTGATTCATGTGAACATCTGGTTTCAGTTTGCTTCTCACCTTTTTCTAGCCGTATAACAGGCTTGTAGGGAACTTACGTTCTTGTTTGCCAGTGTCAAAATAGATGTACTTGCTTGTTCAAAGGCTTGTAAGAGATACAGTGATGTCTTCATATGTAAAAAAAAAGTGAATGTAGTTGTGGGCTATTTGCAGCCACAGTCTTACCTGAAATTCTGCTAATCTTTCCCTTTTGTGCTGGTGGTTTTATGCTGATGATGCAAGAGAAAGTTGAATATTGCTCGGGCAAGGTTAATGGTGGAGCACTGATTGAGGCAGTGCTGTTCCCTCTGAGCAATGGAAGTGCATGCGGGTTATAACTGTGGAGGATCATTGTGCTCTTTTGGCACAGGTGCTGCATAGCTGACTGTGCTGGAAATGCTAGATTTTCTCTGAGTGTTCCGTCAGCCTCAGTCCTTCAGCATCCTCTGAGTGTGCTCCTTTTGTGCAATTACTTATGTGAAATAAGATCATAACTTGTGGGAGACTGTGCGCTCCTGCACGGTAGGTGCCATCACATGCTAGGGAGAGGGCTATAGCATACTTAAACAGTATCTTGGTGTTGGAAAGTGTTGTGTACTACCTGAATATTTGGCTTTATTACATTCATGTGTTACAGGTGACTCAGAAAACTCAAGCTTCTGTAACATGCACCTTCAGAAAGGTGAAAAGATGCGTTTCCCCTGTCAACCTGAAATGAGGCTGCATACTTTCCTTTTTATTCACTAGCGTGAGTAATAAAAATGCTAGCAGCCAAATTAAGACTCTAGTTATGCCTCTATAACTCCATTGTGCTCAATAGGGTTGCACAACTGTAGCTGCCCTGGAATTTATTAAGTGATCTGCTGAGGCAGAAGAAAGATTTAAAACTCCCTTTCATTGCTTTGAGTATGTAAAACTAGCAAGAGCAGAAAAACATTACATGTTCTTAATATTTTTTTCTGGTTTTTGAGAAATATTAGAAGTAAGAATAGAATTAAATGTTTCTAGAATCTAAGTAGAGATGTTTACAAAATTTAAATAACCTCCATTTGGCGAGACCCTGACAGCAAAACAAAACAATTTAACACCCCTAGGAAGATTGTCTGTAGTAGAAGATACTGATCTGTGTAATTCATATAAGAAAATGATGAAAAGCTGATTTCTTACTCTGTTAGTAGTTCATGTAATCACTAAGAGCTTTTTGAAAGCGTAATTCGAATGCTTTTTCCGTCTGCCTTTCAGTTTGTACCTAATGGATCTAGTCTTCATTCTACTGCCATCTAAAGTTTACTTCAGGGGAAAACCTCTGCCTGCTTTTAGAAGCGCAGGTGAAACCAGATTCTGTCAGCTGTGAGCCAGAGGGGAATATCCTCCTCTGATGTGGTTCCAATTTTTGTTTTCCTTCTTAACTTCTAAGGTTTTCGGGCTTCCTCAGCTTCCCTTTGTTTCCTTTCTCTTGCTTTGATCTTCAAGAAAATAGCTTGTGTTTCACCAGACCTGGCAATATGAATTAATTTCCTGAATGTTCAGCTCTATTTTAGAACTGTATTTTCTTTTGAGTATTTCTTCAAATCTGGCTTAATGTTTTTTGAGCAAGTCATTTCTTCTCTGCATTTTGGATAGAGCTCCTGTTTGTTTTTTCCCGCCCTCCCCAAGTTTGGACATTTCAGTGTGTTAGACAGAAACCAATATGAAATTAGGAATTTCTGCAGCAGTGTGCTCTTGTGAGCCTGCTTATCTCTAAAGCTATTGCTTCTGACAATGTGTGGATGCTTTATATGATAAAAATTGTGCAGGTAGTTTAATGCCAGTGTATATAGATTAAGGGGCTTCTAGGCCTGCTTCTTTACCATTGCTCTCTTTTTAGATGCAGACTTGCTTGAAACTTCGTACTGATAATTCAGGATAAGCTTTCAGGGGACATCAGCCTATATGGAATCTGTACTGTTAACTGAAAAAAGGTAGTCAGGGTCTTCCTGAATGTCTACTTTTCATGAAAAACAAAATGTATTATCTACAGGAGAAATGATATTTCCTATCGGAGAGAGGATTTGTTGCTTGAAATGTTTTTGGAATTATCTAAGTTTTGTATGTTGTAGAGGAATGTTAACGAATTCAGTAATTGCTCATCTCTCATTTGCTTTCAGTGTGAAAATGTTGGATGGTACTCTAAAGATTACCAATGGATTGTCATTGTTAAGGGTGTCAGCAAAGCAAAAACCAAATGTTGATAACTTCCCCTGATTTTTCTACACACACACAAGCATACATATATAATCCTTACATGAATAGTTTAATTGGATGATCTTTTCAATCTTCACTTTTTGTGTTTCTATATTTCCTTCAGTTATAGGAGTACTAATAGGAATACTTTCGAGGTGCATATTCTTTGCAGAAAGCTTATTGCAGCAGGGTTCTGTACTGAAAAAAGATTTTGAAAGGCTCTTATCTTCATAAACTCTAAACAAATGTGGTACCAGGGAACTCATAATAGCTTTCACTTTTGGTTTCATTTCTATTTTCACTTTTTTAGGGATACACCCTCATTTTGGAATAACCAGTAGAATGATGATGATGCCTTTTGAAGAAAAGCGTTTATAGAAACAAATCTAGATGTTATTGTGGTTATTTGGAGAACTGATTTCATGTGTAGACTAACTATGGAAAACAAAGATTCTTTCTTTCTTTAGCATCCCATCCTTACACTATAAGAGCTTGAATTCTGTTAGTTATTATTCATAATTTCACCTTGAAACATGAATGTGATATTTTAGTGGGAGGAAGTGTTTTTTTTGCTGGAAGATGAACAGTGAAAATAATTCAGTGTGTTCATCTCTAGATTACAGTAAGATTTATCCCATTTTAGAGAATTGTATTGGAAAGTAGACCTTTCAGTGCACACCTATCAGAACATAATGACTTGAAGGCATTTTATTTCCTTCTCTGTTTGGCAGTCTTGACCTTATTGGACTTCGAATTCTCACACTCCAGAGTATTCTCAATTTGGATTTTAAGATATGTGTTCTGCATGCTGCTCTTTCATCATAATGTTAAGGGTCTTACAGAGGGTTAAATGTTTGATGTAAAGATGGTTGCTAGGTAAGAGTTTAGTCCCTGCTGTCTATCTGCATATCTGTTATGCAGTCTCTAAGCAAAGAATGTCTGCTCCATAGGAAAAAACAGAGATATGTAACATAATGTCTTCTTTCTAATAGTCTCATTTAAAAATATTTCTACTCTTTTCTCCAGAATCATGCTGAGGGAAAAAACTGACAGTAATGTATATTTGGACCTTAGACTGTTGAAAACTGGGGAAATACAACTGCTTCCCTGAAAGCTGTGTGTGGACCACATAAGGAAATGATGATATGAAAAGCAGATTTATTACTTGAGTTGCAAGCTCTATACTCTGTAGTGAAAAAAACTTAAATTTTTAAAACACAGTCAGTGCTGTACTACTAATGTGGGAAAGTAAGACAGGAGGGTATAACCCTGGAAGTTTTCAAAATCAGTAGTGTTGATAGGCTTCTTTATTCTACTGCAGGCAGGCAGCTTGTGTTGCCAATTATCATAGGTGTCTAGACTTTATTCCTTGAAGTAGAGCTTTTCAAATAGGCCTAATAGGCCTATTCAAATAGGTCTAATTTTCTCTGTTTCTGTACCTTTTAATTGAGCTGGACTTAATAGTTGTGCAGAAACTAGATGTGTGACTGTCGGTATATGCTCTTATATGATCCCTTAAGTGAATTTTGTTAAATTTAAAATGTTAGTTTAAGTTTTAAGAGATAACTGTGAACCTTTTATTTAGGGAGGAATATGGCACATTGATAGGAAAGAATTATCTGTCAAGTGAATTTATCGTGAGTGTTGCTCTGGACAGTCTTTGTCACACCTTGTTAATAGTAGAACATTTTTTTTTTTTAAACGTGGTTTACTATGTTATATATGAGGCAATTGCTAAAATTGGAAGTCTGAGTGAATATGTGTGTGTTCTTTTGCTTCTGATGTGTGCCTGAAATTGTATAGGTTTCTCTTATGGACCATCAGTGCATAAGCAAATTGCTAATCTGTGATGTAGTTGGTGTAGTTGTTGTATATCTGTTCTAAGGTACTGATGCTTGGCATTGTGAGAAAACTGTGAGCCATCGAGGACTTGAGTAAACCAAAGATCTGTTTGGTAGATGTTTGGTTCTCAAAGAGTTCTCAGGCATCCAACCTGTGCGCTCTGGCAGTTTGTATTCATTTGTGTAGCAATGGGCACCATCCTTAGCACAAAACGCATTGTCTTATAGTGTGTGCAGAGAAATTCTGAAGACAGAATAAATATTCTGTTATCCAAAGTCAGTGCCAGACTTTTCTGGTGGTTTGTGGTTTTCCTCTGTGCACGTAAATCTATATTGATGTTAGTTCAGAGAGCACAGTCTCTGGAACCACCCTCACCCAGTGCTACCAGGTTGAGTTTGCAGTGACATTGAACAGAACTGTCCTGGGCTGTGATCTCAGATACTTACCCAGTTAATTGTTTGTAACTTGCTCTCATCTCACTTCCCAATGCACTCTAGGGATTAGGATTCTCTAATAGAAATAGCTGGTTTGTCTAGACTGGAAGGAGAAACCCATTTGCTATTTACAGTAGGTGGTGTGAGGATGAGCTTCATTTCTATATGTGAGAGCTAACTAATATCAGGTTTGCTTTGGTGTGCTTGCTTCTGTCATTTTCCTTCTCAAATGATCTATGTCTTATAAAATATATGCTGTGTTGTTACTTCCCTTAGACTGAGAGAATGACGTGGAATTCATCCAGCCACCTTTGTTGTATGGTTGTAGTTTACAGCAGAGATGAGAGCAGCCCAAGATGATATCGTTTCTAATTTTTGAATTTTGTGAAGTAGTTAGTTATTAGCATCATAGCTTGAGATATCTGATCAGTTCTGGGTTCTGAGAAGTCAGACTCCACTGGCCAGGTATGGAGTTATCTGGTCACATGTTGGACGTGTGAACTTATTATTGTCATTGTTTCCTTCAGTTCCTAAACAGTGACTTTAGCTTTAAACACAGCAAATCCATGTCAGTTCTATGAAAACTTGCTAAATGTAGATACAGTGAATGGATGAAAAGAGGTATTTTGTTATGTTTCGATTTTCTGTTCCTCTTACTCTGCCTGTCATCACTGGTATCTTGGTTCAGGCTACAGTATTTAATTCTGCCAATTGAAAAAGCAGGAATTCTTTTTCTGTAATACTCAGATGATCAAGAGCTCTGTCAACATGTTTCTTGAGGGGTCCTTCCCAGACCCACTGTTCACTTACTGATAGCCACTGTGTAGACAAGTTAAATGAGGAATCAGGGGAGGCACTTTCTTATCAGCCCCAGTCTTGCAGTATCATTCTATCTTAGGGAGCTACACTAGCTTTCCATGTTTAAACTCCTGCTGCTATCAATTTTCAAGTTTATATTCCAGTTAGAGTTTTGTCATATTTGCAACAAAAATAAGGGGATATTGAATAATTAAACTTTTGTCAATGTAGCAGAATGCCTTTCTTTGTCTCTATGCTTTCTTCTTCTGCTTCCTCTGAATTCAGAATATCCTGAAACATGTTGGATGAGTCATTCCTAATCATAGTTAATTCTGCAACTATGAGAACGCTTTTTTTTTTTCAGACTGCTTCCAAAAAAAAGAAAAAAAAAAAAAAAAAAAAAAAAAGTAGGTGGGGAGAGTTCAAGGTAGGAGGTGGCTCCAGCTTTGTCTTTATCTGACCTAATACCTTCTGGCTTGGTTGATTCCTTATTGGGCAGCAAAGTCATCCTGTTCTTTTGCAACTGCAATAAAGGTTATGCATATTATGTAATTCAACTAAGAAAAAGTGTTTCCAAAATCAAATAAAGAGTAAACCAAGTCTTGAGTATATCAATATGTGTTTTTGAGATGCATGGCTCATTTATCTGCTGAGTTTTTGTTTCTTGAAGGTCAGCATGTTTTAGTGCAATGTAGATTTTTCCTTCAATCTTGATATTTCTAAAGATCTTCCTTTATTTTTTTCTTCTAATTAGTAGGTTATAATTTTCTTGTGACCATTATTACTTTTCTAATAGTTGCTTTAAAAAAAAAATGATGACAATAAACATAAAATAGTTCTTTGTGCTACTGTCAGTGCAATATGTACCTTTTACTGGATAGAAACATACAGCTGGGTGGAAAATGCTGCTAGCAGAAAATGATTGTACTTCAATTGTGTAAGTAGAGAGATCTTGCACATGTCTGGCTGGAAAGACAAAATGGTGATGAAATCAAATCCATTTAATTTCACGAAGTTGTTTCAGAAATGATCGTGAAACCAGTTAGCAGCTTGGTTGTCTGCCCCAGCAAGGTTTGATACTTTGAGAGGAAAGGCTGCATGTTCGGAGCACTTACAGAACTGTTCATGGCTTGCTTCTCTCATCTTTGCTCCTCAGCTCTTTTCCATCTTTTAGCCTAAGCTATTGTAGAGTGATGGAAATGGATCAGACTGTGCAGCATTGAACAACTACTTGCATTGCTGAGTCTATCTCTTTAACAATCTCCCGCAAAGTGGTGTTCTCTGATCCAGAAAAGCTTAAAGAGGATTGAGTAATTTCTGTCACACATTGTGTGTGTTTTATATGATTCAGATACTTAATTCAGGAGGCTGGTGTTTCAGTGTTATTTCTTGAAAGCAGTTAAAATTCTTTAGGTTTGTCTGAGGGGTACATTACCTTGTCGGTCATCTCTGTGAGGAAGGAAGCACTACTGATTTAAATTTTCAGATAACTGTTGATACAACCTATGATGACTGGGGTTCTTTGAATTACTGTCAGTGGGGACCTGTGACCTCCTCTCTCTGTTGTTTGATTTTTTTTATTTTTTTTATTTTTTGTTTTGTTTTATCTTGTTACCAACTTACTGCCTGTAAAGTAATGTTACTATGGGTTATGCCTGTTTTGCTCTTTATGCCTTTTCTAGAATTTTTGAAGAGGCAAAAAGAGTGTTCAGTTCTCCATAGTTAATAAATAATGCATGAAGTCTGCATACACCTACAGGTAGGACTACAGTTAACAATAACATGGAGTTACTGTGGGTTTAGACCCACAACCAAATTGCAGCCTGTCAGTTGAATATGGTAGCTAGTAGTATGCACAAGTCTTACTTGGACTTGCATATATTGCATATATGATATTTGGGGTTGAATCTGGACCGGGCTATTTTTGTGGTTAGGATGGTTCATGCTTACAATGGCTGTTGACTAAACTGTTGCTTTTTAAACTTTGCAGTACTAATTATTTGTTTTCTTTTCTTTCTTTTTTTTTTTTTTTTTTTAAGAATGTATAGAAAATATGATTCCACTAGAATAAAAGCAGAAGAGGAAGTCTTTTCGAGTAAAAGATGCTTAGAATGGTTCTATGAATATGCAGGTAAGTGTGAAATGTGAGTTTCTTCTCAATAACAATTTAACCTATAAACTTAACTGCATTAAGTGAGCTGGATGAAAGAGCATATTTAACTATTCTAATTTATATTTAAAATTGTACTTCTGTACAAAGTGTTGCCTCTCTGTCTCTATAAGTTACTCCACCTGCTGTGTTAACACTGAGTAGTGTAAAACCATTCCTAGGGAAGGTACGTTTGTAATGTAAAAATAACTAAACTAAATAAAAAGGTAGCAGAGGTAGTAATATTAACTGTTGCTGCTAAATCTGGTGTTTCTGGTTTCGAACATAGAAACAAAGAAACACAAGCGTCCTGTAACAGTCTTTAAATAGTATTCCATTAGAAGGTACAAAGAGGGTCAACCAAATTACTTACTATTGCTTTAATGTATGAGAACTTCTTCAGGTATTGCAGGGTTATTGATTATGATCAATGGTCCCAACAGCTCATCCATTAACAGTGAGTGAAGTCATTGGTCATGATTTGTTTTCATTGTTTTTACACGTGCTTTTCTGACGGGGAGAACTTCAAGTATGGGGAAAAAAAAATCTCATGACTGTAAAGAAGACCAAAAGGAAATGAAATAGGTGTTTGACAAAGGATACAAGGTCATCTTAAAGTTTTCTGCTGTTGTTTTGGATAACATTGCTCAGTTTGTTCTTTTTTGTCTTTCCTCATGTGTAATGAAGAATGACTTAATTTGACGTAATAAATTATTTTTCTTCTTCTAATAAAGTTAAGTAGTTTGAGATCTCACATGTCTGTGGCAGTCTGTGAAAAGAGATTCAGACAATTTCAAGCCAAACCTTACCTGTTAGATTCTGCACCGTTCTGATGCTCTTGATTTATTTATTTTTTTTACTCTAGCAACAGGAATAACTCATTTTTATCACGACTTTGGTGGAGAAGGGGTGAAAGGAAGGATGTGTATGAAAGATCTTTTGATTTTTCCATTGCCTGCATACACCAAGCTATAACAGAAAAGTGGAGAGTATGATCTTGTTTATTGTACTGAATAACATTGTAAAAAATGAAAGTTTTTTTTTTTTTTAGTTATAATTTCTTCTGTGCTCCCTTCTTAAAGTCTTCTCCTTTACATCTGCAGACAGCACTGGATTTGTTGTTTATTTTCTCTAGTGTGTCTTTATTACAGAATTAATTTTATTTTGAAGGAGTTTGATTACAGTCAGAAGTGTGAATGGAAGGATGTCATAGGAAGATGGGAAAATATTTAATAAAACCTTGTTATTTCTAGAATAGTAGGTGGCCTCATAGTAAAACTTAGAATTATTTTCCTTTTCATACCTCTTTCTTGTACTCTTTGTATTGAATAGAAGTGCGGGTGTCAACCTCTAATGCTTTTCTTCCCAAAGTAAGCCCTTCTTAATGTGAATGAAATAATTCTAAAAAAAATAGTCCAAATATGTAGTATATTAAAAAAAAGCAGTACAGTTATGCCTACAACTTTTTTCAATGTAATGTAGATGCTACAAACATCTAAAAAAATAGAGTCTTTTAATGACATCTGTTTTTGAACCTTTTTTCATTTTAAGTCAGCAAAGATACAGCTATGTGTAATTCATATTTTCATTTCCCCCTGCAGTAACTAAAATTCACGTAATGTGCAGCTGTAGTATTACTGCCATGTAGATAAATAGGAACATGACATTTTTATTTCAGAGTCTTTTTGGTAGTAACATTTTATAGAGTTAGTGTGTGAATGAAACAGTAGAGTAAGATTCTGGGAATGAGTCTCTTGTGTCATAGATATCCAGATACCGTAATCTTACGTGATACAATGCTATGATAACAGTAGAGATTCAAGCTAAGAAATGAGTTTCAGTAATCATTTCAGTAATCATTGTTCACTCATTTAACCATGCTGATATTACCTGGATGTTCTGCTAGTCTGTATTGTTAAAGATCTTATTCATGTACTACTGTAAGATTGTCTTGGTAACTGGGTGGAATAAAAGATGTTAGCAAGTGTGAAAATTTGTTCTGTAGTTTTTCTGTCTTTGTTTCCAAAGGTGAGATAAAGATACATGTGTATCCACGTCTAATTGTAAGTGGGGAAATACTTATTGCATGCCAAATAAACCTGCCTAGAGTTTATGAAAGTTCAGATTGTGATCACTGTGATTAAATTTCTCTTATGCTCTAAAGATCAGTCCATTATCATTCTCAGAGATATGTAAAGTGCATTTTCTTTGCAGGCACTGATGACATTGTAGGGCCAGAAGGTATGGAGAAATTCTGTGAGGACATTGGAGTTGAACCAGAAAACGTAAGTTTGAAGTCCATTCAGAAGATGCATAGTGTGTTATGATGTTGATGAACCTAACTTCTCCTTGTTTTCCATCAAGAATAAAAGAAATTCGAATAGAATCTTTGGGAGAGAAAGAAATATAAACCAGAGAGGCTTAAGTGCACATTTGGAACCAACTTGCCTTTGTTCTGAAACTGGAATTGTTAAGTTGACTAAAAACTCAGTTTGCCTTTGCCACACCTTCCCCCCCATTGTTTCCCTCACTCCTCCTCCCAAAAGAAAGAAATGAAAGTGTAGAAAGAGACTGCACTGGAGATTTGACACAACTACCAGCTAATGTTTTCTATGGGAGAAAGGTGGTTTGAATATTGTGAGCAGTATTAGCAATCCCATTATGCTGTTTCAAAACCCAAGTAAGGTGAAGTTTTATTTTTATGTTTATATATACATGAAGGAGAGAGGGAATTTTAGGAAACAAATAGCTATACCTTTTGCAGCTTTTTTTCTGGTGTCTAATATATACTTTTAAAAACATATGTGCAAGTCCCATCTTTTGCAAGATTTGTAAATCATGTCTCATTGGTTAAAATGAGATTTAAGTTGAATGTTTTGCTGGTAATATAAGATGAAATTTGCTACCCTTGGAATTTATTAGTGTGGTAAACCCTTGAGATTGATAGACACATTTCAGTTATATAAGTAGATATCCTGACTTTGCATTAACAGTATAGAGCTGCACTAGTATTAGCCAGAGTTGCAAATTGAAATTGATTACACTTTTTTTTTTTTTCTAGTCTGCAGGGATAGTTGCCTGCCACTTTTTCCATGCGTATATCTTAAGTATCCTGAATATGACAGTAATCTTCCAATATCACTTTTCCAAATTTATTGCTTCTCCATTGCTTCTGTGTTCTATGTGAGATATTAAAAGGATTCTGTTTCCTTTGGGGCAAAATTGAAGCAATTATGAATCAGCCTGTGGATTGATATGTGCTAGTGTTAGTTCATTCAATGTGCTTAACATCTACTTGAATTATACCTCAGTTCAGACTTGCAGAATTAGGTGGAGTTGACAGTACCTTGTGGTAGCTGGATTCATGTGGGATCATTATCACCTTTAGAACAATTGAATTTCATAAAGCTTATGGATTGCAATGGATGCTCATCTAGATGAATTTAACAAATGTAACTTGTCTTAAGTTAGTGCTTAGATTTAATAAATTTGGGAAACATTTTCTGTAGCCTGTGCTGGCTCATCTTCCTCATGGTTGCAATGCACATTAGCTTACTACTGTGACATTCTGTGCATGCTCCCTTGAAGTAATGTGACTAACCTAACCAACTTTCTATCTTCGTGCTGGAATCTTATGGTTTGAATCGTGCAGGTTTGTTGTATTCAGATTTAACTTTTAAATAGCTGCCCAATAGCAAAGTTCTGAATGTTTTGTTTATTTGAGTAAAGAAAGTACTTGTAGCCTGCTAAACAGCAACTGAAAAATATGCACATAGTTTTGTTGATTCTCTTCAGCTTTCCTATTTTTTCCTCTGAAATAGGTAGTAATGCTTGTATTAGCATGGAAGTTGGATGCACAAAACATGGGCTACTTCACATTACAAGAATGGTTAAAAGGAATGACATCATTACAGTAAGTGCTTTGAAAAAACTCTTTCTAATAGTAAATACAGGTTGTTGTAGAAAAAATGCACTTTGATGTTTTAATCATAACTTAAAACAGAGTGCTCTACTTTAGAGCAGAAGCAGTGTCACTTTGTCACTGCTTCTGGTGATATGGCTCATTCAAAGATAACTTGAAACCTGGCTGCTGCTTGCTTGACATACTTTTAAAATGTCTGCAGCCTCAAGAAAACAGAAATACAATGAGGGACGTTTGCAAGGACATCTGTCTTTGTCACTGGGTAGGACCTATTTGTTTCTGAGCTTTACTGTCATTGTATGAGTGTTAGATATTGGTATGTTGTTAGAGCATATTCAGTTTAAAATAAATGCTAAACATTGCAAGCGTTTTTTGTGACTGCATTTTTGTGTTCTTTCTAGGAGTTGCGTTCTCCAGTTGCGGTCTTATGGCATAATTAACATAGAAGTAGTTGAATAACTACATTTCATAGAGCTGGGGGGAAAGAACTATGTTTTGGCTTATCTTTACAGATCACCAAAACTTTAGGAAGTTCTATAGCTTTGCTGAAGCTATGGAAGTATTGTTTCCCTTCTGTGGTTTGTTGGTTGGTTTCCTTTTGTAGACGAATTTGTGGTTTAATTTCATGGGAAGTGCATTTTCTACAGCTTCAAACAATTTTTTATGACAGTGCAAGCATAAGACTTCGCTAGTTTATCTACTTGTTTTGTCCTGTGGGTTAAATCAAGGCATCTTAAGCAGGCAAACTTATGCCTTCATATTTTATGCAGTGTTGGGGATATATGTTAAGATTCTTTTTCTAAGAACATCAGACATCTGTGTAAGAATGTAGACTATGAATTCATTCTTTGCTTTTCTTTCAGATGTGATACTACAGAAAAATTGAGAAATTCTCTGGATTGCTTGAGATCTTTATTAAATGAGCCTACCAATTTTAAACTTATTTATAGATATGCATTTGACTTTGCACGGGTAAGTACTGGAGAATGCTAATGTATAAAACTAAACTTTATTTGATAGATAATGCTTAAGAGTAAATATGTTTCTCTTAAGATATCAATCAAGATTCTCTCTTAACAAATGTTTGTGTTATAATCACTTTTTTTTTTCTTACTGTTTGAGTTTTCTGTGCATAAACATTCAAAACAGCAAGGCATTTCAGCCTTTTATGCAAGTGGTAAAAATAATAAATATGTTGAGAGGTGATTATAATATAACTATTGGTTTTAAAAATTCTTGGAAGATCATCAGTTATGTTCTTAACATTTATGAAACAACATGAAAACAATGTCCTGATATCAGCAGAGGGAAGAGTAAAAGCAAGCAAAATGTGTGAGCTGCAGTAAGTGTTCATTAAGTGAAGGAGAAGTGGAAATAGAAAAAAAAAAAAAATGGAAAAAAGCAAGTGCTGCAAAGACAGTTGTTCACTGTCTTCCACAGGTAGACCTAGACAGATGAATAACTTCCCTAAATCTGCTCTCTCGCTTTTGTTGCTGAGCATGATGCTGTAAGGCATGGAGGATCTCTTTGGTTGATTTGGGTCATCTGCCTGGTTACATCTGCCTGCCCAAGCTCTTGCTCATCTTCTGTCTATTCACTGGGTGGGCAGAGGGAGAAACAGCAAAGGACTTGATGTTATGCAAACACAGTTTAGCAATGGATAAAACATTGCTGTATTATCAACTTTATTTTGGTCGAAGACACAGAACACATCACCAGACAAGTTGCTGTGGAGAAAATTAATTCTGTCCCAGCCAGAATCAAGTACGTTGTGTGAAGGCTTATTCTGGTAATTCTGCTGAAAATAAAATACAGAGGTTAGAATTACTTAACATTGCCAAGGAAGTTCAAGATACTGGTGAAATATATTGAATTGATTAAAAAAAAAAAAGTTTTACTAATAGCAAATCTGTGCCAGCTGGTGACCTATCAAAAATAAATGACAGGCCATCAAATCATTTCTGAAGAGGTCAGTGGATGGTTTTCAAGACGTGCAAATGGATCTGACAAACAGTGCTCTCAAGAAGGGTTTCTAACACAGTCAGATGTTCTGACTTCTTTTGAAAAAAACAAAACAAAAAAAAAAACGAAAAACCACAAAACTGTAGATTTGCAAGTTGATAAGATTGCAACTTGCAAATCATATCAACAGAACTTCTAAGATGTACCAAAGTCATGTTTTCAAGTTACTAAAACTTTCCTACTAGTCAGGTGTAATGAATCTGCTAGATACAGATGGTGATGTTTTTTCTTTAAAAGACAAAATAACACACAAGCAAGAACAGACAACAAGAAATTAAATCCTGGCCCTGCAAGCCTCAATGTAACTGCTGCTAAATTGGCATAAAGCTGGAACAGTTTTGAGAGAAGTCTCCATTTGCTATATGTTACAGTATCGTGTTACCTGTGCTTGTTTGAGAATTCATTTAATCTGAATTTAATGTGATCAGTAGAATAACAGAACAAGGAACCTCCTCTGATCACTTTCACATAGTGGTTGTTAACTGATAGCTGCTTAGTTACCTTCTGACAGGTCGTGTTGTGTTCATGTTGTAAGAAAACCTCAGGAAATATGTGCAGTGATGCTGCTTTAAGACTCCTATGGCCGTGCAGATGCATGCATACAAACATGGGTATGGCTGTTGTTTTTCTAGAAAGTTAGGAGGTCACAAACAGAAATACATGCCTCATCAGTAAGACTTTCTCAAATAACTGTCACTGCTATGGAAGGCATCCTCTACAGCAAGCCATTAGCTGTGAGGAATGTTGGGTTTTAATTAAAAAAAAAAAAAAAAAAAGTGTTTGATATTGCTGTAAATAAATGTTTTTTATGGTGTTGTTTTTTTTTTTGTTTTTTTTTTTGTTTTGTTTTGTTTTTCCCTTTTGGCTTTTTTCCATTTCATGCAGGAAAAGGACCAGCGCAGCCTAGACATAAATACTGCCAAATGTATGTTAGGCCTTCTTTTAGGAAAAACATGGTCTCTTTTTCCAGTATTTCATCAGTTTCTAGAGGTAAGGATGTTGAAGCAGACTTTGTCTATCTATTTGACTTAGATATGGAATGAATAGGTTTTTTTTCTGAATTAAATTATACTAACACTCCCAAAATGGCATTTGTGACTGGTTATAATTTCTTTCTTTTTGTTTTTCAAATCCCTATTCTGTTGATCTTTATTTGGTGCAAGACAGAGTATAAAATGTCTTTGATTACTTCTTGACTTCTGTTCTTTTTTGATGCATTTGTCCACTAAATGGTGGCTTAAAGTGAAACATACGTTATTCAATACTAATTTGATGGTTTAGTGGCTTTTTTAATCCTATTTAATTTTAGATGAGATGCAAATAATGATAATTCATTCCAAGGCTTAAATTTCCTGCATGAAAACTGAATTTGAAGGAGTTGAAGATGTGTTTCAGTAACTTCTGTTTCTTCCCTCAAGCAGCAATCAAAATACAAAGTTATCAATAAGGACCAATGGTGTAACGTTCTTGAATTCAGCAGAACAATCAACCTTGACCTCAGTAATTATGATGAAGATGGAGCCTGTAAGTACTACCATATGTTGGTATTTTAAAATAATTTATTTCTCTGAGCTTAGTCATTTGGTGCTCTTTTATGAAGTTTTGTAAAATGCAGTTATTTGATCTCTCTACAGGGCCAGTATTGTTGGATGAGTTTGTGGAATGGTATAAAGGAAAGCAAATGACGTAGGAGTTCAACTATGCACAGCCACTCAAGAGTCACTGTTACCACAGTTATGTCAACCATTAGCCATAAACTGCTATTTGTATCAAAGTGCATGCTGCTTTTCTTGCACTGCGTTCCTTTTGCAGGGAACTTTTGGTGTTTGCCATTTAACAAGCTAGCTATGCTTGCTGTGTAGCATTGTTCTCTTTGAAGGCTGCTTTGCATTTTGTATTTACACTACAAATTGGTGGACTTGCCAGCGTCTTCACTGTGATTATGTGTATATTGCTGTCGAAATTTTGTATATGTGTATAAAAAAAAAAAAAGCTTCAACTAGGGATTATTTCTGCAGAAATGTATTGTTAAAATAATTTTGTGGCATATTTCTAGTCATCACTTACATGTTTGTTGAAACTTTAGTTATTTTGCTTTTCTTTTGGTCTCAAATGTAGCATTTCAGAAAATGGACAGACTGCTCGGACATAGTTACGATGAAGAACTATTGTCAATTTTAATGTTACTATTTGAGATGCCAATTTCTGAGGGGAGAAGACATGCAGTGACTTTCTTAACGGAAATTCGCCAAACTTGACCTATTGCTTAATAGGAATGAAGCATTGATGTCTTAAAAACAACAAAAATCATATATAAATATTAAATCACTGTAGTAGTTGTACATGCCACAGTTTATTTCCATTTGAAGAAAAAGTACTGACTTTTTAATGTTAAAACTGCAGTAGTCGTTACAGGTACAATTGAACAAATTAAAGTACCTTTTAAAAAATGGGTTTTAGACTTTTGTAAATTGCCTTTGGCATACTCCTTTTAATTTTTGTTGTACCAAGAGTGTTTGGATTTTGTTGCAATATAGTGAAAGTTCTCGCTAAAAATAGTGGTCTGGGGAATAAAATCTGCTTACCTCTAGCAAATAGGTAATAGAGATTTCTCTTTTCTGATTTGTAACGTTGGTCTTTCACATGGTCTCTAACTTTATGTTTCTGAGTAATTAAACGTGTCGTCAAAATGTTGCTTTTTCTTTCATGCTGGGGATTGGAATTCCCTAGCAGGATGTCCATTGCAGGCAATGGGCACGTTAAACACCAGTATTAAATGACTACTTTCTATTAGGGACCACTTCCTATTTCTCTGATTTCTTTATCTGTGTGGGACAGTTCTAGTGATTACTTTGGCAAAAATGACCGAGTGAGTGGGATGATGCTTAATTGCTATATTTTTGTTGCCTTGTCTTTGCCTTACTCTTCTTTATTAAAAAAATGTCAGCGTTAACTTTTATAGATCAGTTCTTGAAGGATCCGGTGCTATTAAACTTCATTTTCTAAGCATTTAATAAAATGTTCCATATTAATTCATGGAACATGTAACATAAAAGGGCCAGTGGGCACTTCAAAACGAAGAACAGCATTACTTTTCTGTAGAAATATTTAATGAGGCATTGGCAGTTTAGATATTTCTCAGAACGCAAGCCAGGGTATGTGAGGGGAAGGGTGTGTTTTTAGGTTGAATGTGAAATTTTCAGCTGTCCCATTCTGATATCACCAAAGTCAGGAACAACTGTCACTAACTCGGCTACTTTCAGGATTAGTTCTGCAGAAGCATATTGGTTTACTGCCCTGGTCTGGGATGTTGTACCTGTTGGTATGGGTGGTTTAATTGTGGTCAAATCTGTGTTTAGTTGGTGGTTTTTGTTTGTCAGACTAAGCTGCCAAAGACAAAAATTGTTCGTGTGTGTTTGTGTGTATTTGTATATACATAAGTATACACTATGTATACATATACAAAACCTGGAATTTCATGAAGCTAAGAAGAAAGTACTACCATTTCCAATGAAATAGTCACCTTTGGATTTCCATGACACTAAATAAATACATAGCACCCTTTAAAGTTAGTATTGGTGAAACATACATAGTCGTTGCTTTCTCCTTATTAATACACATAATCTTAATTCCATGTTTGATGCCAATTTTGCACAAGAAATTAATTCAGTGAAGTGTGGTATTTAATGTTTACAATAAGCCTCTTACACATTTTAATAAGACTTCTGATGTAAATGTGTATATTATCATAGAATAACTATAAGTAAATATCAGTGGAACTGCTGATTTAGTTCTTAAAGAATGACTTTGGAAGCAATATAACTTGTAACATCAGGCTACACTGTCTTTGCTAAAATCTTAAGTGAAATATTGTAATTTTCTTAAATGTTAGGCTAGTTACTGACAATAGAATTTAGCACAAATTAGCATGAATACTGCTAAAATACAAGGTTTGCATTAAAAGTTTTGTATGTCACAAAAATTTGGCTTCCAGTAATGGAAGCAAGAGCCAAAGACACTTAATCTATTACTGTTACTGGTGTAATTTTCACATAACAGGGTCAGCAGAAATCTGTTCAGCTTAACTGGGTGCTCTTTTTCAAGGTTTACGTAATGTTTTGCAGGATACAAAGTTTGAAAGCAAAGAAAAGAGAGAAAAAGAAACGTCAAAGTGCTCACTCTGTGTGAGTAAACTTTCCATTTTCCTCTTTGGATAAAAGTAATTGGGAGCAATGGAAAGGAAGAATGTGTTTGGGAACAGATTAGATATTGCCCATTTTGTCTTCCATTCACAGCCAAGATGAATTTGTGTTCAGTGACTGATTTATAATGACCATAAGTAAGGTAAACCACAAATGCAATTACAGCTTGTTGGCAACTTTACTAAAATGTACAGGAATGGAAAGAAATGGTCTGAAAAAAAAAAAAAAAAAAAAAAAAAAGAAGGCCTAATAACTATCCCTGTTATCCATCCTTCTGTTTTTGCTGCATTTTCTGACCCACAGAGAACCCCAACACTGCAAGGTATTGCATTTTGAAGGAATTCTCTCATATTTAAATAATTGTAGAAACTTAACTGAGTTTGTTGAAGCTTAACTAAGCCACTCAATTTACCTTGCTTTTAGTACGAGTTTGGTGTTTCCTTTTCAGTTCAGTATATTATCATACTGTTGATGTACTTCCCCTCCGCCCTCTTTCCCCATCCCATGCACACTTTAGTAGTATACAGAATATCCTAATTTCATGAGTACTGGGAGGTCTTTCTGGCAGATGTGTTCACGGGTTGTGTGTTTATCCTTTTGATGTAGTATAACTGCATTTGTAGCAGAAACTTGATGATTGATGTGCAGTTCATGCCTGGTACTTGGAAGATGTAAAATGAAGAGACAGTTAATTAAAGGAAACCAGAGACTAAGTATTAGACAGGAGCTGATAGGTAACAAACTTTTTAGAGCTCTTTACTGTCCAAATAGCTGTAGAGAGTATTAGTAACAAATATACATAGATTTAATTTGAGGAACGTCTAATCATACAGCAAAAATATTGTAACTTAAAATACTAATTTTAATTCTTATTGATTTTTTGTTGTTGTTGTTAGGTTTTGTTTTCAAGAAAGGCAAGTAGAGGAGGATGGAATTTCTTGAAATGCTTTATATATTTGAGCTTTCAGTTAAAGCTTGTTTAAGACTGTCTTTAAGCTAAAATAAATATTTTAGTCACCTTTATGTGGCCTTTTCTGACATATATAGAGAACTGGAGGCATCTCCCATTTTATCACAATTAAACGCATTTTATTTTAACACAAATAATATTTGCACAATCAAAATTGATTTTATCTCATTGTTACTTGGTTAATATTCCTGAATTACGTTTTCTGGAGGGAAAGAAATGGAATTATGTAAATGGGTTATGTGAGAGTTCTCCTGGATTTCTGTTGACCCTTAGTCACAAGTCTAACAAGTTGTTAAATGCTCTTGAAATTCATATAGACAGCTTTAAAGGTTACCATGTGCCCTGCTTTTAATTGTAAGTGCTAAAATACCTCTTTATAAGCCTTATGTTTTACCCATTCTAATTGCTATGTAAGTGTATAGAACCCACTCACCAACTGAATAGGTCATTGTAACTGAGACCAAAATATGTTTTATTTTTTTCCCCTCTCTATATATGTGCGTGTGTGTGTATGTATGTGTGTTGTCACCAAGTAGTTCCTAATGAAGCTGCTGTTGGAACAGCAGTTAACCTGTAACTGTGAATGCTTTATGTCTTAGTTATTTGGGTATTACATGCATAAGGTGTGCTAAACTCCTGTGACTTACAAACTGGTGGAAATGCTGTTATGCCACCTAACGAGTTCATTTTTAGGACTTTCGCTGGTGTTGATGTAAAATGGAATCCCACAAATAAAGAGTATTTGTGTTGGTTTCAGAAACTGAGTTAAGATTTTTCTGTGGTTCATGCTTCAGAAATTCTCTAATGTGAGTATGCTTCTCCTCCACTGGAAACCTTTATCATCTAGCACAGAACTTCCTTGGGCTCCAAAATTCTGTTGAAGGAGAATATACACAGTCTTGTGATTCTTATTCACAACCTTACAGCAGATTAATACCTGAAACATTTGAAAACAGGTATGTTTCAAATGGGGTGAGTGAATGTAAAGCAGTGCTGTTGTACCTTTGTTTTTTTGTTGTTTTTTTTTTTTTTTTTAATCAGCAAGCTGCTGAAATTGCCTGTCATTTTATAGGATGGAATCTTAAAGTAGTATGTTTGTTACCTGCTTGTTTTGACATAGGCTTTTGACATAGGTCCTGCGGGATGCCAGGTAGAACCATGTCAGCAATGTGTTTTTGTGGTAGAGAAGATTAATGTTTGGACTGCATGAGGGGGAGTGTCTTCATCAGGTTGAGGGTGGTGATCCTTCCCTTTTATTCAACACTGGTGAGGCCTGACCTGGAATGCTCTGTCCAGATTTGGGCTCCTCAGTACCAGAGAGATATGGATCTCCTGGACAGAGTCCAGTGGAGGGCCATAAAGTTGATGAAGGGAAAGAAGTGCCGCTCGTGTGAGGGAAGGTTTTGAGAGCTGGGATTGTACAGTCTGGAAAGGAGAAGATTTAGTGTGTGTGGAATCCCATCAGTGTGTACAAGTATGTGAGGAGAGGGTGCAAAGAAGAGGGAGATGGACTGCCCTGAGTGGTGCCCAGCACTAAGTCAAGAGGCCATGGGTAAAAACTGGAGCGCAGGACGTTCTCTCTAAACATTGGGATGCACTTCTACGCTGTGAAAGTGAAGGACTGCTGGAAGAGATTGTCCAGGGAGACTGGAATCTCCTCTTGGAGATCTAAAGAAGCCTCCTGGACATGGGCCTGGGCACCCTGCTCTGCTTGAGTAGAGAGATACTGGACCAGATGGCCTCCACAAGTCCCTTCCAACCTTATCCTTCCTGTGATGTGGAGCATATGCTAAAGAAAACTCCAGGTATTATTCAAATGTAACACTGGAAGAGAAGACCAGTCCACTAGTATTTGAATGTAGTGGTATTTATTTCTGGAAGTGTGTTATGAGTTCAATACACGTCTTTCTCTTACCTTTTAGAAGACTTTGTTGATTATTTGACTTACAATGGGCTCTTGAGTTGGTCTTTGTAAAGCAGAAGTGATAATACCTAAGCAGAGCAGTAGAAAAGTTGTTAGCATTAGGACATGAAAATTGCAGCCTAAATGTATGTTACACATTCTTGGCTTTAGTTTTAAAAGGAACCATTAGTTAATCTTACTGTTTTATATTTCTTTCAGAGTTCCGTATCTGATTTTGAATGGGAAACAGTCTCTTAAAGCCTGACAAAATGAATAAAATATACATTTTGGACACATTCCTCAAGATTTTGTTTTAAATTTTGTGCACTAAAGCTATCACTCTGAAGGTTTTTGACAATATTTTAATGTAAATGTCTTTAAGAAATATTCTCATGTGGAGACTATATTTAGGAAGCTGTTTTTCAGTAAATTCAAGTTGATGATCAAAGCTGGAATCGCCTTCAGCACTCGTAAGAATGTTGTCTTCTCCTTTTATTTATGATTAGGTGAGTCACAGTCTTCTGTATTATGAAAATTTCTATATTGCTGTCCAAATAGTTTCTGATGTTAATCATATGTAGATTAAATGTGAATGTCTTTGTATTTGAGGTTTGTTTTCTAGCCCAGTAATTAATGTTCTCTGGAAAGACTGAAATGCTTTGTGCCTGTGGCAGACAACTTGTTAACTATCACTGTGTTGGAAACAAGTAGTTGAAAATCCAAGTTTTGTTTCACTCTGAGTTTCTCCACCAACTTGTAAGACTTGTTTTTTTCCTGCACTTATTGACTGAGGGATACAGTGTCTTTTCAACCCTTGAGCTTAGCACATCTAAGAAAGGTGTGCCCAGACCATTACCAACATACTGTCAGACCTCCAATCTTTGTTTGAGAATTCATACAGTATCTGTTCAGATTGTGGGTGGTGGGGTTTTTTTTTTTTTGTTTTTGTTTTTCTTTTACCTGAAGTTAGTGATGAAGCTATAGAAGTTTCAATGTCTCTAGAGCAATTGAGTTATACCTTTCAGGAAGTATGACTTCTATGGAGGAAAAAATAATAGGTATTCTAGAAAATGCTCAGTGATTAAATGAATGATGTTTTCTGTGCAAACAAGATGTAGTTGATAAAAAACAAACAAACAAACAAACAGCTGAATTGTAAAGAAAAGTGAATGATAATAGAATCCCGAAGGGATTCAGGAAACAGGAGGTTTGTAGGTTTGGGTACCTGGAGGAGGGCCTGGAGAAATAGGGTGAATGGAGAACAGGACACAAAATATGAAGAGCATTGGCTGGAAGCCACAGAAAATGTAAAAGGTTTTGCATTATCTCTAAGAGCAGTTGCTAATGATGTGAGGAAGTATTAAGAATGAGAAGTGGAGTGTTTGTGTTTTAACAGTAGCAAAGCAAGGGTGCAAGATTATGCAGAAATCTGAAGGTAAGTTTCAGGCAGTTTCACAACAATATTGTGACAGTAGAAGGAAATAATTTGGCACGTGTTAAAAATTCCTTGAAGGAGCAAATGTATTTTTTTTGTGGATCTGATAAGAACAGCAAGTAATCTTCTGAAGCTTTATTGCACAAAAGGAACACTTGCTGCTCCTCAGAAGTAATGTACTGTATATAATGCTGCTGCAGCATTCTGGTGTTTGGAGAAGATGAGAAACAATTTTGCCAATGTATATTTTGAAAGCTTGTTGAACTGTAGTAGCAGCAACTGAGCAAATGTTGCTGTGACACCAACAGAGTCACACAGACACCTTTTTTTTTTTTCTTTTTTTGCCATGATCCACAAAATTGGCTCACTTGTGTAGTTAGATTCTGTCTTAGTGTCTTAGCAGCTGGTACAACCCAAGGTCAGTCAGTGCATAACATAAAGAGCAAGTCTACATTGTCTTAATGAATTCCATTTTTAAAGTTGCTGTGGCCACTGTTACCTTCTGTGACCTATAAGTGATTTGCTTTACCCAAACTGTTATCCATGTCTTTTTTTTTTATACTTTCAGTTTGAAGTTTTTCTTGAAGAAAGCAGCCAAGCAGTGCTTTCTCTTTATGTAGAACATTTATTTAATAATCCTCAGAAGTTAAAAGCATTGGTAAAGTAGTCTTCATTGTCTTTAATGAGGATAACCTCTGCCCCTCTACCTAAATGTACTGTTTCTGTGTTTTGCAATGAATTCAAATCCCAGAGACTTCTAGGAATACAGCATTTGAATACTGCTTAGATTTTGTGTAATATTGCAAAGCTGGGGAAATTCAGAGAATTGTAATCCAGAAATTTGTTTCACAAAAGCAGAAGGTGGTAATATATTTGATTTCACCTATAGGGTGATTCCTGTAGCAAACATGCAGTAATAGTAATGATGTAATAATAATTTCAGTGTTACATTTATTTTTGACAAATATAACTGTGCATGTTAGAATTTGCAAAGGAAACTAATATTTCAGTACCAACAGTAAGCAAGTGTATTACTAGACCTCAGTTAAAGGTTTGTTAGCAAACATAACTACTGAGGAGTTTGCTCATTCAGGTATCATAGAGTTGCAAGTACAAGTTTATTGTATCTGACTTGTATGTACACAAATATCTTTGTCAGCCTGAGTTGCCCTTTGGAGTAAGTTTTTTTCTGAATTAGATGAATCCATGCTTTACACATCACGCAGGGCAGGTCTAGTTCCATAACCTGCATTTCTGAAGCTCAAGGCAGCTAGCTGTACTAAGCAAAAATAAGCAAAAAACCCAGTAACTTCATTCTAAGACGCAGTCACTTTGCACCTGTAGGAGGATAGCAATGCACTGCTGTGTCTCAACCATCGGAGTCTGCTTTCCTACTTTCCAAAATATTAGCAAATCCATCAAATGCTCTTTTCTTCTTAATGAAAAGCTGGCGCTGTCCTAAACTGGTCTGAGCTTTTTGACAGCATTTTCCACTGGAATCTGGGAGGCTGGCAGCTGTTGTAGAACTGCTCTCTGGTGCTGTCAAAGAGGTGTCACCCTCCAGCTCACTGGGATCAGTTGTTGGGCAGGTTTTGTTTCCTGCAGTCTCTTGTGGGAACGGACCTGAGCTGTGCTGTGTGCTTCTGCTCAGGGAGCTGAGTGGGACTAGTGAGGAATACACATTCTCTTCACTTGGATCCAACTGGAAATAATTGTCTATGTTGAAGACTGACTGTGTTTTCCCTGGAGATTCAAGGTGCAATTTTGTCATAACACTGCAGGATTGCATTTCATCAGAAGAGCTACAGTTGTTGCTGCCCTGTAATTCCCTGTATTCATCACATTCTTCACTGAAACCTCTTTGTGTTTTATCTTCGTGAGTTCTAGCTGAATTAATGTGCTCACCCTGTGGTAATGACTTTTTCTCCATAATAACCGTAGAAGGTTTTTCAGTTGTGTTTTCAGATAGGGATGGATGAGGTGACTTGTTGCTGGCTGTGCTGGCATGTGGGAGAGGTGCTTTGCTAACAGTTGCATTCAAACCAGTATCGAGAGGAGTACGAACAAAATGATTGTTCTCAGATGTATTCATGTTCCATCTCAGAGCAGCGTCCCCTTCCCAACGGTCGCTTTCAGAGGAGCTCTCATCTGTGAGCTGCTCTGTGCTTACCTCTGGTGCGTGTTCCTTCTGCTCTGTGGGACTGTGTCTGAGGAGGTGCTGTGGTTGAAAGGAAAACTGGTGTGGCTGCAGCTCAGCATCTTCAGGAGTATTTTCGGTATCTGTTGCATATGTAGGAGAATGTTTTAATGAAAGTGGTGTGTTGCTGAAGTCTGTGTTGTGCTTGTAGGGAGAATCAGAAATTGAGTTTTGTGCTATTGACTCCTTGGTAAAATAGCCAAATGCATCAGGAACTTCTGGACTTGAATTAATTGAGTCTGAACCTGATGTGCTTACATGATCACTGCATTTGGCAGTGTGAGCTGATGCTGCTTCAGGTATGATGGTATCTGACCCGTAATCTGTAGTGGTTCCAAAATATGCATTGTGCTTATCTCCATTTTTTCCAATATGCCGAAGTTCTGCAGCAATGCTCAGGGATTCTAGCGGTGCTGAGAAATTACCAATTCCATTTGCGTCAGCTTTCTCCAGTGATGACAGAGGAGCTGGCAAGTTGCTGCTAACGCTGATTTGTTCCAGGTCAAAGTCATCTAAGGAGCTGCAGTCACTCATCGTGAACAGAGTCCCTTCATCTGAAGAACTGTCACCAAAGAAATCTGCAAAATTACCTTGCTCATTTCTACAATCTCTTTTACAGCTGTGCTCTGTATGAGGAGTGTTTTCAGGTTTTTGGTGAATGCTTAAGTTCTCAATATTTGCATCTCTCTTAGAGCTACTGGGTAGAATAAGATTTCCCACGTCACTGTTCATATTTACGTTGCTATTTAGACCAAATTCTCTATCATAGCTTTGCCTCCCAAGCATAAATTTTGTAGAGCTTATAGGTTCATGATGTAAAATATTCCCTTTGTATTCAGGTGTTGCCTCTGACTGCTGCTGACCAGATCTGTTGCCCACCTCATTGTCTCTGGAATATTGCACACTGGTTTGGGGTTGTACTGTGGGAAGTGGGAAGCCAGCATCTCCTGTGCAGGGTAAATCTGTGTCTGCAGGATCCGTGTGAACTGAGTGAGAGCCACTGTTGTGTCTGCTGGGCATGGGAGGGACTCTGCTCTGCTCTGAGTCTGTGCTGTTTGCATACTTTGGGTCTTTCCATGTTGACAAGCTGTTCCCCATTAATTTCCCTGGTGTTACTTCACTGCTGTTCTCGTAATCCATCCTTGCAGTAAGCTGTCCAGTGTTTACGTACATGGCATCACTGCTATTAGTTTTGGTGTTGAAAGACACGCTATTTTTTTTTATGTTAATCTCATTATTGCTTTCTTTTGGGAACTCCTCAGTACTTGGTGTGCGTCCAGTGCCATCAATGACATTTTCATACAACCGAGCAGTTCCTGTAGGAGAAGCATGAGTGCTTCTTGAAGAATTCTCATAAAAAACAAACTCATTATGCTGTGTGTTCATTGGGTTGCTCACAGAGTGCTCTCTGCTTGGGGTTTCATCTGAAAAGGCATGGTTAGCATGGATGTGCTCTGGAGCCGGGGCTTTGTTCCTGCACATGCGCATCCACAAGCGTGTGAGGCAGGGCCTGGCCAGGACGCCCAGGCAGAAGGCACAGAGAAATGTAATGAACACCGAGAGGCATACGGCCAGCGTCAGGTCCTGCTGTGTTCCTCCTGCTCTAACACCTGGATTGGCGGCCCGAGTTTTTCTAACCAGAGGTGCTGGAACCTTTTCTTTTACCTGTACATTGTAGATGAGATACTTCTTCCTTGTTGTATTAAAAGTACACATATATAGATGAGGAAGACTGCTTTCCTTTGAAATTTTGCCTTTAGGTGTCCACCATGAGACTCCATTACCTGAAATGAAAGAAAACACAAATTGAAACTTTCTTAAAAGCAGAGGATACTTGGCTGGTGGAGTCAGGTTATTTCTATACAGGCATACTCTGACCTATCAGTGATAATTTTTGTGTTATTTTTATGAAAATCAATTTTTTTTTCACTTATCGTTGTGCCAAATATACGTTAAATAGGCTTCTATTTTCTATGCGTTTAAAATACAGAAAGTGCAGTGTGTTAACAGCAGGCTTTACAAGAAGAATGATGTGGATGAGGGAGGAGGACCCTGGGCTGATGGCTGGTCTTTGCCGTGCTATAAACCACTGTGTCTCTGCGTGGTGCAGGATGCACTTGGCATCCCAAGAGTGCCTGAGAGCAGCCTGTCAGGTCTTTGCCAGTGCTTTAACTGCTGTGTTGTTCCTCTGGTTACTGCTCAGGCTGCAGCAAAGACAGTTGGCAAACCAAGGCAATTTGTGTGCACCCAAGTGTTCCAGCCTCTAGCAAGTGTAGGATGTGGCTGGTTTCTGCCTTTTGGAATGTATTCCAATGTTGTATGTACAGCTTTGCTTTTGGACTGCTTACGCTTCCACTTGAGTTTAGGTGCCATACAGTCTGTTGACTTGAACCCTGATCACATTTTCTGTGATTTATTTGGAAACCAGAACAGAAGGGTGGTATTTCTGATAGATTAATTATTTTCATTTGGGGATAAAGTGTTCCAAAGGGAAAGCCTTATACCCCAAAGTACTATTAGTTCATTAAATTGTACTGCATTGTGGTTGATGCCAAATGCCTCTTCTCCTTTGGATTTCGTCTCAGTGTTCCTTCTGCAAAATCTGAGCTCTGCAGGCTTTTGTCCCCTGTACTGCAAGTGCTGTGCCCATGTCTGCTGAACTCTGCACTGAGCAAGCTGCAGTCCATGGGGGCTGCACTTATGTAGGGGTTAGATATTAGGAGGAAGTTTTTCCACACAGAGGTGCTGACACACTGGAACAGGTTGCCCAAGGAGGTTGTGGATCCCCATCCCTGGAGGCATTCAAGGCCAGGCTGGATGTGGCTCTGGACAGCCTGGTCTGGTTTTTGGTGACCCTGCAAAGAGCAGGGGGTTGAAACTGGATGATCATTGTGGTCCTTTTCAACCCAGGCCATTGTTCTATGATTCATTTCACTCTGCTGTATCCTTCTCCTTTTTCTACATTCCTCCGGAACTGCTACCTCACAGCTGTTAGCTGCAATAAGAGAAAAGCCCATTCTGTGCTTTGTTTGCATTCAATAATTAACTTACACATTTGCAACATATTGCATACTGGAATTTGTATATGGTTGGACTTTAGCATCACTCTTTAGTTAACACAGGAAATGAGATGAAGGCATGAGGGTTGGAACTAGATGATTTTTGAGGTCCTTTCCAACCCAAGCTATTCTATGATTCTGTTCTATGATTTCTGTGATTCCATTCTATAATTCCACTTTTGAGAAATATGACTTTCAAATTTTTTAGTGTAATAATTATTAATCAGCATGTTTAATTGTCACTTGGTTATATTTAAAGCAGCATCTTCAGAAACCCACTTTCCTAACCAGATTTCTGTGAGCATTCTGCATGCAATAGGATTTTAGCAGTGCATGGGGCACAGCCTCGTTCCACATACCCAGTGCGTTACCCACGCTGCAGTGCAGCACTGATGTCTCCCTCGGTGGGACCACAGCTGTCCTGGACAAAACACTGTCACTGCAGTTCAGGTGGAAACTTGAAAGGTACAGCAGAGGCTTCTGTGAGCTGGTGGCAGTTTTACTGCAAGATGCAATCAGCTTTTCTCTCGTGGAGGCAGAAAAAAAACGGAGTAGATGTTTCAAAGCATGAAGTCTGCAGTTACATATCCAGGAATTGTTGAACAAATCCACTTTGAGTTGAAAGATGTTCAAATTGATTAATAGGTGAGGTAGAATGGTTGTCAGAGGGTTTTCACGGAGATCCACGACCTATGTGGAAGTAATTAGTTCAGAATTAATTTCATAGCATTCTTAAGATTGGAAAAGACCTTATAAGGTCTCCGTGTCTAGCTGCCAGCCAGTAACCCCATGCCCACTAACCAGGTCCCTCAGTGCCACAACCACGCAGTTACTGAAGTTACTGAACACCTCAGGGATGGTAACTATTACCTCCCTGTACAGTCCATTCCATTGCCTCACCACTGTTTCTAAGAATAAGTCTTTACTAATCATTTGGTAAGAACAGAACAGAATCTGAATCACAACATCAACTGTAACATTTATTTTATTAAAGAGAGCATTTTTAAAGTATCAGGAACAATATCTGTGTTAGAGATGCCAAAAATATTGCACTGAGGTTTTTGATTTTAGGACAGGGGTTTGGCAGCCTTTCATTGTAGGCTACTTCTGTGTGGCTGGGAATCTGCATGGCTCTTGCCAGAGGATGCCTGCAGTTAATGCAAGGGCTGTTCAGTCTTTTTATGACTCTCTGGTCTCCTCAGAAATAGCCTCTTCAGCCTCATTTCTTCTGCAGCTCATGTGCAATTCCTTCTCAGCTGGACTGTGCCAAAGTTGATAAAAGGCCCATCATAACATTTTAGTGTTTTGCCTTTCTTTGAGGAGTGGAAAGGGCATGTGTGTCTGAACACTCGTGGAAGGGATGGGGGAAGGAAGTCCATAGAATTAAGTGCTGGCTTGTGGCATAGTGAAATGGGTAATTGCTTGGCTGTATTTTGTATATTTACAATTACATGTTCCTATGTATAAAAGCAGTTGTGCTATATACAAGTAATGACTATTTAAATTATTTGCCTAAATTTTTATAATTGTGTACTAATAATCAGATCAATATAATCATTACTGAATAGCTGATTCAAGAATCTTTTAGTGGTGATTAGCACAAAACACTGAAACTGTTGTAGTGCTACCTGTAGTTTGTTGAGACCCTTGAAGGCGTCAGGATGAATGTTTGCTATCTTGTTGTTTTGCAGGTAGATATTTTTCAGCTGCGAACAGTTGTGAAAATCATTCAGGTCAATCTGTAGTATGCCATTGAATGACAAATGGACAGTTTGTAAAGACTGCAGCAGTCCTAGCCCTAGGAAGAGCAGAATTATTTTACATTTCATATTCTCGTTTTCCCAGTTGTCAGGTGGTTTTAAAAAATTGTTTGCAGCAAAATTAATTCCATTGCTGCCTACAGTAACTAGTGGCTGCAGGCTTTGACTTACTGTGCCTTTTCCACACAATAGTTGTCCCATCCTGAAAGCTGTATAACATCAACAGCAGGCATCAGCAGGAATTGTCATATATTCACAATCAAAGGATTTTTTGTTTTTTTTAATTGCATCTCCATAAAAAGCAGGAACATTCCTTCATGCTGTGAAAATCATTCTGATCTCTGTACTTTTAGCATGCTTCTCTGGAGAATGAGTGGTGACAAAGGAATGGTTTGAAGAGATGGACTGCATTCTGTTAATTACTTCAAATTTAATTGCAAATAAAATATGGGGATGCAAAAGCTGACACAGTTTCTCCTCTTCACTACCATCCACATGTTCACACACATTTTTCAGATGGGGAATTATTTGAACTGTAACCATAGGACATACATACACCTGACTGACATCAAAAGCGTGTTGTTGCTTTCATATCCCTGTGTGCCTGTGAATGAAGTGTGACAGTGTGTCCTTCAGCAAACCCTCGTTAGCACAGCGTCTGCCCTGCATAAGCAGCTCTATGGAATGCTGAAGATGTCTTGTTTTCTTACACACTGTGCAGGGAGCCCCTAAGAGCCCCACTTTAGCAAAGTCTTAAATAACTGTTAATAGGTGGTGTCAATTGGGGTGCTAGATGGCAAGTTTGTTTCAAATGAACTGAACGTATTTTCCTGTCTTTGCGAAATGCTGAATTTGGGGCCAGTTTTATTTAGAATAGCATTGACTTTATTCTAAGGAGCAGCATGAAATTGCTTTTGTAATTTTCTTAGATATTAATGTTCACAATTGAGATCTAGAGGCTAGTGGTCTTCCTTGCCTCTCATGGGGTAAGTTTTAGTTATACTTGACTGACATTAAGCATTACAATTGCAAGGACTGTATAGAACGAAACGCATCCCAAACGACCCATTTGTTGCTGAACAATCTTCAATCTCTATTTGGACACAGGTGAAACCTGGCCACATCTTACACATAACCAATGAAAATAGTCTCATTCTAAATCTAGTAAGATGTACTGAATTTTATCCCAAACTAATTTACTCCTTGTGAGTGAGGTCCTTAAATGTTTTGAAATGCTCACCTGTTGGAACTGCATGGAGGTTATTCCTTCCAGCTGACAGTACTTTCAAGGCAGGCAGGAAATGGTGGATTTCTCCCAGTGTTTTAGACCCATGTGCAGGTGTAGGTGGGTGCAGTGTGAGGGTGCTGATAGAGTTACCATTGAGGTTTAGAGTTTCCAAAATTGGTAAATTTCTAAAAGCAGTTACGGAGATGTCAGAAATGAGGTTGTTACTGAGGTTCAGATGTTTCAGCATCCAGTCTTCATTTCTCCCAGTGGTGCACAGGAAGGTTTTGATGTTATTGTAACTTAGATCGACTGTTACTGCTGTTAGTGATATATCTTCTGGAATAGCACCTAGTCCCATGAAAGAGCAATTCACTACGAACTTCTCATCCCACCAGCAGTCTGTATGGCGATGTGTATTAAGAAGCTGCTTGGTTCCCACTGATCGAGGGTGATTAAAGTAAAGGAGCAGCACAGCTGTGACACTCAGGTGAACGTTATCCATAATGTCTGTACGTAAGATGTAAAATTACGGTAAGTTCAGCATAACAAGAGGCGAAACAGAAAGAAGAAATACTTTGGCATTCAAAAAAATCAACACTAAACAAACACCCAACCATTACCAGTGTTCTGTCTGAAACCCACAGCTTTAGAGGGTTAGATTTTTGAAAGAAGTTCTTACATAAGCTGGGGAGCTTCCCCCTCACTCCCCCTCTCCCAAAGACAATCCAAACCTTTTCTTTCTCTTCCAGCCCTTCAGTTGAGAAACACAGCTTCTCAGGAACTCGTGAACTAACCACAGTAGAGACTTTTGAACTGTGACTTCAGGTATAATTTACAGCTATTGCTGATCAAAGTCCACCAAATATAACCTATGACAAATAGCTGTGGAATGATTTTCATACTTACAGTTAACACAGTACCAGTTTCACTGTCAACACAACAATATGTTTTAATGAAAAAAACATGTTTTACAAATAACTCTAAACCACAGCTGAGTCTTAAAATTTATTTTTTCATTTAAAAACAAATTTCATTTAAAAACAAAAATTAGAAATGCAAATGTCTTCCAGCTACTGAAGTAACCACCACTTTTACAGATGCTGAGAATTCACCACAAGTGCGTTGCTTTGGTGTCCCCAGTAGGTATCTTACACAGAAGCATGTAGAACATGGCATTTCAAGTGATTCTGTGGGACTGAAATAAACAGTGTGCCACACAGTGTTTTAAATAAGCATAGAAAAATGTACTTCAGGCAGTTAGAAGATAAACAACAAAGAACTGCACAACACTGGGTATGCGATGTCAACATTTCTCAAACTGTAATGAAGGCAACAAAATACTTTACCAATGCATAAACAGTGGCCAGCAAGACAGTAACTCATATCACTGGGCATTTATATGACTGGTTTTGCTACATTTTGACTAAAAATCCACAATTCAAAATCAATTCTCCAGACTATGATTTAAGAGTACCTTTGTGACACGTCTCTCAGCTATGCTGTGTGTAGTATAAGAATTCCTGATAATTATAGGTCTGGAATCCAATCCTGGAACGTAGGCATGATATCAAGCAGAGAAGAGCTATAAAGTGCTCTCCATGTGTATTCTACGTGACCAAGGCAGTATCTGTAATTTACCAAGTTCTATTATTTCAGCTTTGAGAACACTGCTGCTTATATTTATATATAAATACACACACCAGTATTAATGTCAGTTATGTATGTCAGTATTTGCATGTATATGCATATTTGTGTAATATATATGAATATAAGCAGCATTCTAAAATGTACATATAACTATGCATTATACACATATATATATATGTGTAAATAAAGTGACAAACTGTGCCATTATCAAGTGAGTGCAAGAGCTAAAAATGTAACAGTTTTATCTCCTCAGGTGAAACATCCTCATTGGGAACTGCTTAGTGCCACAAACATGCATGTTTTCAGTATGATTAATACATATGAAATGTAGTAAAACTATGAAGTTCATGAAGTCAGTATGCAAAACATACTTTATGTTTGTGTTTCCCATAATATTTAATGTAATTCAATGGCAGCAGGAGCTGACTTGTCTTTTGGAATTCAGCGTACTTTGAGAGCTATAAAACAAAGGTAGGTAATTCATATTCCCGTAACAAATGCCCAATTCTGAAGTTAACATTTAATTTCTGCACAACTTTTAGGGAGATAAATATGTGCTTATCTAAAAAAACTTGTCAAAAAAATGACTTGCAAAGTCACTACTGTGGCCTCCTCTATTTAGATTACTTGATGCTACTGTAAAACAAAACACACAGCAAACCTATTTCAAACAGAAGAAAACTACACGGGGGAAGAATGAGGATAATGAGCTGATCTCTTTTTAGCACAGAACACCATCCCTCTACAAAAGCAGTTCTAAGGCTACAGTAATTTATTTATAAGGCCCCAGCTCACCATAGATGTAGTTTCACTGTTGACAAATTCAGATATACCTGTGGTTACTCTGCTGTCACGGGATCCAATATCATCACAAAGAATTGCAGACTTCACTTTAACTTCAGAATTGAATACTGACAATTCACAGGAAAAAAAGAGACCTGACCTTAAGACACTGCTGCTTACAGTTATGTTTCAGTTCTTTAAACACATTCTGCTGATCCCAATTCAGGAGGGCATTTCAGTATGCACATAAACTGAAAGCTCGCTGAATCGGTGTCGCTATTATAGCTAGCACAACGATGGCGTTAAACTGCTGAATGTAACAGCCTGTGCTTAAAAATACTATGTAATAAATGTTAGTATAAACTCTTGTAGAAACAGAAATCCTTGAAGGCATGCAGTTACTTCATACAAATACTTGTAAACACATAAGAGAACTCTTCTGGTAGTGCTTTGCGTTTCAGTGTGTGGCTCCACACGGATTGACGGAGGTCTGACAACCCATGTTGTGACCTGTCACTTGCACCTTGAACAGTGTTCCATCCGCACACATGCACAGCTTGAATCGCAGCCAGTTGCCGTTGTTAAACTGCTCCCCGTAAGAAGAGCTCGGCAGTCGCGACGGGCTGACCATCACAGTTCCATTCAGGATAATGCTGTTTTCCTTTCAAAAGGGAAGGAAAAAAAGAATTTTTAGGAAGGACAAGCTAGTTTAACTACAAATTATGTTGTTAGGAAGGTTGTAGAAATCTACAGAATATAACATAACGCATAAGATGGTTTCATTGTTTAAATTCATGAATAACACCCATCAGTTTCTCCATTACAGCCATGGTACTTTGCTATTCTAGTGGTAGATCAGTACTTAGAAAGCAGTGGTAACATGCTAGACAATTCTTCACAGACCTATAAGCAAAGGCAGTGAATTAAAAATAAATGAAATGGACTAATTTTAGTCTCTGTGCTTCTGTTGAAGGTCGCCGTCCACAGTAAAGGTTCAGGAAAAGAACATGTATTCCTTTTGGTGTTCATTTCAGTGCAAAAAAACAATAGCTTACTTCGAATCTCTTCATGGGATTTTAGTGTCTTATAGTATTAAAACAGCATTACCTGAACACTGCTAAGCCGCAAATTAAAAGCGTAATAATAATCTACCTTTAAAAAATCCAATTAAATATGCTGATTGCAACCAAACTTTTATGAATTATTATTTTATATAAAATTTGAATCGATACAAAACAAAAAGAGTTAACTATCAGCTTGAACTTGAAAGAAAGACATTCAGAAAATGCTGTTGTGAAATACTTACTGCTTTAAGCTCCATGTTGCCCCCCATTCGAAACTCAATGGTCTTGCCTGTGATGAAAACGCCTTCATTTCCACGGACAATAGCACGGCCATCAACCTTTATGTTTAGGTCACTGGTTGCATTGCTAGTAATCTAAAAATGTACACAAACACAAGTATTACAGATCAATGAAAATGTGCCACTTGGGTTCATCTGAGTAACTCTAATAATCTTGAAAACATTGCTCAATAATTTAATAAAAAAACTTCAACGTGTTTTGTGCCCTTCTCCCATTATAACTATGAAGATTTTGCCTGTTTGTTATCTTCTACATTTACATTTGCATGGCTTACTTAATTTTGGAAGGTATGTAACACAGTTTGTCTGTGTATCACTCAACTGTGATAAAAATAACTCACGTGACAGTTGCATGGGATACAAAATCAATGCTGCAAGCCAGTGCAGCCTTTCATGTAAGGACTAATTATGTAAACTTGTTCCTCTGTTCTTATTTAACCTGTTGCTCTGACATATTTAAAGTTCTATTGTTATTTTTCTCTCTGCTGCATACTTTTTAATTGCTAGCCAGCAGAGAAAACATAAGGGAGAAAATGAAAACCACTGTCTTTTCTTGGTCCTGAGACACATGCAACCCTCAATAAACCCACTGACACCACTCTGTTAAGTGTTACATAACAGAACTGTGTGCAGTATTGTGTCTGGAAAACCTTTCTTATGATTGATATGCAAGAAAGAAATTTCAGTCTGACATGAAGACTGACATTATGCATACAAAAATATACAGGTTTTTGATTCTCTGATAAATAAAGTATATTTAATGTAGAAACCAAACTAAGAACATGTTCAACCTGGAAGCCATGAACTAATAAAACTCATACTGTCATGATTGTTCTCTATGCTTCTTTGAAATTCCGATTGTACTGACATTTATCACCAGTAGAACGAAAGCGATGCACGACGTTGAAAGTTCTTACTAAAAAAAGAAAAGCTTTTCGTAGGAATTTTATTTCTGAAACAGCTCTCCACGTACAAGCTAACGTATGTAGATGCTTAACACAAAGTCACACAGGGCTTCCTAATCCTGATGATGGAGCCAGCATGGTATTCCAGATGTTACACTTGCTTAATAATGTCAGTTTTCATTTCTATTCTAATTTTTAGGACGTGTTTGGTTTTCAGAGGTGCCAATTTTAGCTATATTCAGTCACACTTCTAGATTTGGAAGATGAAATTAATAAACTTCTTCTGTATTCTCCAACTAAGACAATGCTGTAATTAGCTTTACAGAGAGTACTCAAGGAAGTTAGTTTTTTAGAAGTTGAAGAAGACATACCCTCTCTGTAGAGGCCTTTTGTACGTTCAAGATTTTAACTCCATTTGGCAGATGAAACTCATGAGTTTCATAGTCTGTGCTGAACAGAGTATTTTGTGTCCGGGGGTCAACAAATTCCATGCCAATATCACTGGTGATGGAAGTTTTGTCTTTCTCCACACTAAGCTTGGTTGTTCCTTGCTGAAATACAATCTTCAGAAGCAAGAGTCTTTAAGTTAATGACGTTTCAAACATTACGTTTATTAATAACCCGAGTGTCATTCCAGCTCAGGATATAACTTACAGGCTGATTATTTCCAGTGATCACCAGATCTTCATTCCGTCTGCCTCCTACAGTGCTTTTATACAGTGGATGTATCACCCCCATGTCAGAAACTTGTTTAAACCGCAGTAAGCCGCTCTCGTGGAACTCCATGCTGTCACAGCCATTGGGGCCGATTCGAATCACTGCCCAGATAACAAGTGTAATCTGAAAGAGAAACACACCTTGTCAGACATGACTTCAATATTACAGGTAGCTTAACAGTGAATCCTGGATACATCTGTACTGCACTAATAACATTCCGTGTATTTTCTGCCGCGGAGTTTCTGGAAGGGAGAAAGAGCATCAAGGCTCCTGCTCCTGTGGGCTCATGCTGGGACTGTGCCAGTGAAATACGGATGACTGAACTGGAAGGATTCTTCTGTCTAATTCTGCTCAGAGTACAAAGGAGCAAAAAGGAGAGGGCAAAAATTATGTGCCTCCCTCAGTACTTTTTATGTC